TTGGACCCATTGTCATTCTACTACTGAAATACATGTAGTATATACAGTATATCTATGAAATATGTATATATATATGTATATGTATTACTGATTATTACTGTATGTATGTGTTGTGTCTTTACGACTTCCGCTGATGGGAGCTAGAATAATCACCTGTCAGGCTGCTGAATAGTCGGACATGAAAAAACGGCTCGTTTGGAGTAACCTCGTTGACAAATTGACACATTTATCAACAATCAATTATCAATAGATTATCAAAATCAATAGATTGTTATTAATAGTCAATTGATTAATAATTATAGATTATTGATCCCCATTAATCAATGATCAATAGATTGTTTAAAACATCAATAGATTCTCAATCATCAAAAAAATTGACTATTGGTTTATTTCCCCTTCTTTGATAATCAAATAGCTCATTATTTCTGGGTTGGATTCCGGGATTGATTTGTCGTGCAAAAAAAAATGTTGATTTTGTGGCTTTTCCCAAAGCTCCTTTGAGGTCGGGGATTTCTCACTCATGTGGGTAAAACAATAATACATTGTTCAATAGTAACTCCAATAACTATGGCACTATGGTGTGTAGACCAACTAATTAGTCTGCTATGGACTATTATACTAAGTTGGTCTATAACTCCAACTTGGTTGGTGGTTGACCTACCCCTCTGAAAAATATGACTTCGTCAGTTGGGAATAGTATTCCCAACTAAATGGACAAATAAAATTCATGTTCCAAACCACCAATCAGATAATAATCGATCCCCCAAATCACCATAAATAGATTTTTTATAGGTGGCATGGTTATGGTATAAACCATTCCCAGTCATGGGTGGTTTATCATTGTTTTAACCACATCCATGTGGGGCCCCATGTGTTCCCACCAGCCTCAGAAATTCGCGCCACGGCGAACTCGAAGGCTCTCTGGTCAGGATCAATGAGTCGCTGTAGGCTGGAGATTTTTAGCCATGGATGTGCTTCACTTCAAAAAAAACGACGTCATCTACTTTCATTAGTCATGTTCGTCATGTTCGATGTGAAATTATAGTTAATCATGTTCATAACTATACTTTCATTAGTCATTATAGATGAAATAAATCTAAATGTCTAAATGACCAGAGGCTGAGTTGAGTTTGACCCATTTCTAGTAGCATATCCCCAGTCATTGACTTAGGCGATGCCATCAGGCCGGCCGGTTGGACCTACCAGTGACCTCAGAAACGAGGCTGTGGAAAAATAAACCTGTCTGATCCCAGAAAAAACAGGGGTTGCCCGGCCTGGGATCTACAAAAAACCAGCATTGGTAGAGTTTAAACAGCAACATATGGGGATTCAAATGGATATTACCCGGCCTGGTTATGTCAAAATAGCTATTGAATAGCTGGCCGTAGAAATAGTGGATTTTTTCCATTGATAGCATGTAGATGTTCCATAGTTTTTTGTATGTTTACCAGGCCGGGTAAAACGTCCTAAAATCCCGAAGCGATGCTTGGTGGGATATACTCTGAGTTGAGGATTATGTGGGTATCCCAGCATTCTGAATATGTGGTCTGAAAGTAGTGTTTCCCCCTAAATCCTCCCAAATTAATTGGTTTATCATCATTATCCCTACGAAATAGCCTTTTTCAGACATCCCCATCTGTGCATTGGGGGTTTCTCTCCACGCTTCGGTTTGAAGTGGAACCCTAAAACGCGAGCCAAAACGGCAAAACGAAATTTGTCCGGCCGCAGGTTCGGCGGGGTTTCAGTCCTGTGCTGTCCGAGTTGCTTTGATTGGTTGTACCCTCTGGTTATTTAGCGCTTGCTATGGAAACATGTTTAAAAATGATCCATGATGAATTATCTGCAAAACATGGTGATGTTCCGTAGCAAACAGTTAAATACCCTAAGGGTACAACAATGGGTCCTGAGGTCTTGTAAACCCAACAATACACCACCAAGTGGATTTGGTTTTCATAGCCCCTACTTAAATGGTTTCTTGTTGGGTCTGCCGCATTACTCTCTGGTAATCAAACTTCACAAGCTGTAAAATCACCGAACTGAATGGAGGTGGCTAGCTGGGAAAAATCAACGGTAAATGGGGCATGTTCCATTGCCACGTTTGAGTGGACGGTACCCCACATGTTTCAATGGGCTTTTACCGGGAGTCAACGGGTGTATTTTTGGCCCCAGCCAGAAAGGGTCCATCAGTGTCCTGAACAAAAAAGGCGGTTTCTTGAAATGGAGAACCCCACCCAAAATCATCCAAAAGTGGACATGTTTAATCGGTATTTAACCATCAACAATTCGTATCAGTCCTGAACAAATGAAATATGTATAGATGTGCCTGAAAGTTGGCGATTTAACATGATTTAACCAATGAATCGTGGATACGGGGTGCGTCTGAATAGGGTATACCCCGAATTATGACAATTTTAAGAGGGTTATTTATGCTTAACCATCAATTTTGGGGATAACCTAGTTTCAGACACACCCATTTTGAGGTGAGAAACCATGCTTCCTTGTTGCCATATGAAGCCAGGGAGCAAGTAATATTATCCACTTGCTCAGTTGTCCATCATCAGAATGGGGTCGTCCCATGATTCTTCACTTGGACCTTCCACATGTTTTGTGGATCCGGCGCTTCTCCCATTTGGGTGTGGCCAAGAAAAAAAGGTTATTATTTGATGTATTCCCTTTGGATGATCCTAATTTTCCCTATGAAACAAAATGGTTATCATAATGGTTGTGAAAATATGTGAAAATGTGCTTCTTTGGGTTTCTATCCCCCATTTTCAGACACACCCAGAAAGATTTCCATGGGGTAGAGCTATGGTGATCCTCGCCAGTCAAACCATGATTGACCACGATGATCCACTATTGACCACCATGGTTACCATCCTTGATTGTCATCATTGTAATGTAAAAAACCATGGGGGTTAATATACCTGACACATTGGTTGATAATACTTAACCGGATTATCAATCATTACTACTATTTCCCATCATTGTAATTACCATTAAAAAACATTTTTAAGACAAAGATTGATGGTTCCAACTATAGTGATCCTCACCAGATTACGGATGCTTTGTTTCTCCAAGTTACCCTTGGGTAAATTCACAGTTGGACTCTGAAACTCATCAATTTCTAGTGGAAACATTCATCTTCCAACCCAGAAAATTGCCACAGGATGGAGGCCCAAACATTTTAGTGGCTGAATGAACTATGGTTGATGGTAGATATAACTACGTCTAGTTCGTGGGGGTTATTTCATGGTAAATAAACCAACTTATAACTGGGGGGGCCCTATCTGCCAGGGTCTATGTTACCCTCTGGTAATTTAACATAACTATGGAAAATCACCATTTTTAATGGGAAAATCCACTATAAATGGCCATTTTCAATAGCTATGTTAAATTACCAGAGGGTACTGGAGTGTAAATCACAACAGCACGGTCCCAGAAAATGTCGCACCGCACCTGTTCTCACTGGCGCCTGCGCAGGAGGAGAACTGTGAACTAAGAATGCCATAAATTCTGGGGCTAACTGTTGGATGTATGGATGATATATAACATGTTCTTATATATTATAATATATATATGTAGTTATATATATATATATTAACTACATATGTATATATGTATATATATGTAGCTAGATGTGATCTAATTACATCTATAGTTAGATCTAGATTCATTATTCCTGGCAAATTGTGGTGATGTTTAGTGAATTTTGCTACTTCTTGTTAATTCGTTTAAGTAATTCAGTAATTTGGATGTCCTGAAGGATTGCAATGTTTCAGTGATTGTTTGCATGTTAGCTGGTAATTTCGTCCTCAAAACCTCGGTTTTTTAGAGGGAAAAATGATGGTTGCGCGAAGCTTTCCCCTGAACCAGCCGATGTTGGGTGCAAAAACTAACACTATGATACGTCCAATCACTCAAAAAGGAACTGCATAAGAATCATTAATGCGAACATTATGTTGAACCCTGGTTGTTTGAAAAATCGATCCTGTTGTTGGTACCTTATATATTTGATCAATTCATTTGGGCAAATTATAGTAATTCACTGACCTGAAATAAGGTCCCCCGTCTTCGCACGGAGCATTTGGGGATGATTCCTCTTATTAACCATGATTCCAGTGAGGTCGCAGTGAGTTCGTTATAATTTGCCCAGATTCATGAGTAACAATGATTAAAGTTGAGGACATGATCTTCACAGAAAGTATTGCTGTCATTTGTCCAGATTGGTATAGTGATGAATAGTGCCTTATAAAACTGTTTCCTTGGTCAACAATGATCACATATAGCCCATCAAACTAAGATATTATGAATTATACATATATTATATATTCATCAACTATGATAGATTGTTGATTGATGTCAACTATTAATATCAACTATTCATAGCACATTTCATGAATTACTGGTTGGTGGTTTCAGCCCCTCTGAAAAATATCAGTTCGTCAGTTAGGGTTATGAACTTCCCAACTGAATGGAAAGTCACAAAATTCATAGATACCCTCTGGTTATTTAACATAGCCATGGAAAATGGTTAAAGTCATAGAACATGTCAATTATTTTTCCCCACAATTCACTGAGTCAACAAAATTCATCCCAATTTTTTAAGGTCAACAATTCATCTCCATGGTGCCTTTTGCAGTGTATTCTTTCCCCATTGAGACTTCGCAAATCTCATGACACAAAAATGTGGTACTTCCATGGTATTTTCCCATGGTATTTCCCAATTTGTAAGGACGAACTGGGAATTTATATCCGCCTGGCTGGATTATGAAGTGGTGAAGTACAGTTGATGCTTATGGTTGAGTCCCCATTAACCTTCAATAAATCCTCATTATATCCAATGAGGTCTAAAGAAATCCCAGAAAATATCACTATTCATCCCACTAATAAACGTATTTCATTATATCTTCATTAAATGTTCATTATATCCCACAAATTGTTCATAAAACCCAGAGGAATTCTTTCCCAAACCTAAACTCCATCCGAACGGACGGCAGAAATTTTCTTCTCTGCCGACGCTTCTTGGTCGGTCGAGTCTATCCTCTCACTTTGTCTTCTTCTCCTTTGAAGCATCCTGGTCGGACCCAAAGCTGCTTGGTCTTGAAGCAAATGGATATTAGTCACTCTTATAGAAAAACTAAACTAATATTAGCCAATCCGATCCATATGAGCATATGAGTAAGTTTAGTTTAGGATTCTATATATTCCATAAACTAATATTACACGCAGACCCCGAGGTTCGCCCAAGCCCAGAATAGCGTAAATTACTGGGTTTTTTGTTCACACTATACATATCATATGAATTAATTCTCCCACACCCGTTAAACTTCTACATTCATTAAAGATCTTCAATAAGGGCTTAATTTTCCCACCCCCGTTAAACTTCTACATTCACTGAAGATCTTCAAATAGGGTTTATACCTCCCACCACCGTTTAACTTCTACATTCATTAAAGATCTTCAATAAGGGCTTAATTGTTCCACCCCCGTTAAATACTTCTACATTCATTGAAGATCTTCAAAAAGGGTTTATACCTCCCACCCCCGTTTAACTTCTACACTCATTGAAGATCTTCAATAAGGGCTTAATTCTCCCACCCCCGCCAACTTCTACATTCATTAAAGATCTTCAATAAGGGTTTAATACATGTTGTTTATGTGGAGCATTTTGGTCATCATCATCATCATCATCATGATGCCCGGACGCTCGTCGCGAGTCCGGGCAAACCTCAGGGTCTTGCCGTAATATTAGTGACATTTACTACTATGATCTATCAATCTAAACTAAATGTTATGGGTTCATAAAAACAGATCCGTCGTGTATATATATGTATATATATATATCCAATTAAATCCCATGACATCCCATTATATCCTCCCTGGGTTATGCCATGTATGTAAGCACAGTTCACAGATGGAATTCATGAAATATACTCTAATCCGCTACATATTAGAAGATATTACACGAAATTATATGATATACCTTCCGGTAATCAAACAAGGCTGGCTGGAAAATCCCCAAACTAGATAGAGATTATTGGCTGGGAAAATCATCAAAGTAAATGGTGGATTTTCCAGCAAACCATGTTTGATTACCAGAGGGTATTGAATCCATGGTACTATCCAAAATATTAGGTATAAACTATCCATATCTATCCATTATATTACAACAATATACCAGTAGTACCGCACAAGGCGGTGGCGGAAGCTTCAAAAATAGGAAACCTATAGGAGAGATTAGTTGTTGTGAATCAGGGATGGCAGAGCGAATCCACTGATGGACCGAAAGGTGCTTGATCTCTCTCATTCCTTCTCTCTCTTTCTCTGACTATCTACCTGCCTACCTATCATCTTCTATGTATCTATCGATCTATCGATCTATCGATCTATCTATCTCTCTCTCTCTCAATCTTTCATCTAATTACCTATCTATCTATCTATCTCTCTCTCTCTCTCTTTCATCTGTCTATCTGTCTAGCTGTCTACCTCTCTATCTGTCTATCTATCTATCTGTCTGTCTGTCTACCTGTCTATCTGTGGTGCCGTGTCATTCAGTGTAATGTAGTGTCGTGCAATGTAGTGTAGTGTAGTGGAGTGTAGTGGAATGTAGTGTAGTGTAATGTAATGTAGTGTAGTGTAGTGTAATTTAGTGTAGTGGAGTGTAGTGGAGTGTAGTTGTGTAGTTGTAGTTGTAGTTGTAGTGTAGTGGAGTGTAGTGTAATGTAATGAAGTGTAGTGGAAGGTAGTGTAGTGTAGTGTAATGTAGTGTAGTGTAGTGAAATGTAGTGTAGTGTAATGGAGTGTAGTGGAGTGTAGTGGAGTGTAGTGGAGTGTAGTGGAGTGTAGTGGAGTGTAGTGGAGTGTAGTGGAGTGTAGTGGAGTGTAGTTGGAGTTGTAGTTGTAGTGTAGTGGAGTGTAGTGTAGTGTAATGTAGCGAAGTGTAGTGGAAGGTAGTGTAGTGTAATGTAGTGTAGTGTAGCGGAGTGTAGTGTAGTGTAATGTAGTGTAGTGAAGCGAAGCGACATCTGAACCTCCAAAAGTGGTCCAAACCCCTGGTGTTTTTAACATTTTGACTTTGAAATGTGCTTCGCGCCACAACGGCATGCACTTTTTCAACATCTGAACCTCCAAGAGTGGTCCGAACACCTAGTGTTTTGTACGTTTTGACTTCGAAATGTGCTTCGCGCCACAACGGCGTGCACTTTTTCAACATCTGAACCTCCAAAAGTGGTCCGACCATGGTGTGTTTTGTACATTTTGACTTGGAATTGTGCTTCGCGCCACAACGGCGTGCACTTTTTCGACATCGCAACTTCCAAAAGTGGTCCGACCATGGTGTGTTTTGTACATTTTGACTTGGAAATGTGCTTCGCGCCACAACGGCGTGCACTTTTTGGACATCCTAACTTCCAAAAGTGGTCCGAACCCCTAGTGCTTTGTACATTTTGACTTGGAAATGTGCTTCGCGCCACAACGGCGTGCCCTTTTTCGACATCGCAACTTCCAAAAGTGGTCCGACCATGGTGTGCTTTGTACATTTTGACTTGGAAATGTGCTTCGCGCCACAACGGTGTGCAATTTTTCATCTCTCATCTGGCCAGCTGGCTCCGCACCCGCCGCTTTAGCGAGCCTACTTTTCGACCCTCCGGAGCCCCAAATCATTGGAAAAACACGGTGTTTCGCGACTTTCCTACCTTTTCTTGCATCTGCATCTTCTTTCTTCTTTCTCTTTCTCTTCTACTCTTCTTTCTTCTAATCTTTTTCTTCTCTGTGCCTCCCTGCTCTGCTTTTCATCTGTCCATATTGTCGGAAGTTTGACTTCTAAACTTCCTTCGATAATGTAAATCAAAAATCCATTCTATAAACCATAAATCCATCATTATCCATGTATATATTCATCATAATATGAATCTACATTTTGATACAGTATAATTGTACTATCCAATATACTATCCAAAGGGTTATATACTATACAGGTAATTATATATACGGATGGAACTCGTGTTTCATACTACCTCCGGGGCCTTGTGGTCTGGCCCGCCCTCCACATATTTACATGTAAATATATATATACCCTCTGGTAATTTAACATAGCTATTGAAATTGCCATAGAAATAGTTGGTTTACCCATTGATAACATGGTGATTTTACATAGTTTTCTTGTATGTTTTCCAGAGGGTAATCCCAATATTCACATTATTATCCCATTACTATCCCAATATTAGTCCATATGGTTCATAATCCCATGATTGTCCCATTATTATCCATTGATTCTCCATTGATCATGGCGCCGAACGCCGCGGCTTTCGGCGCCATCGGCTCCTTCAATCTTCGCAGCACCTTTTTCCGTTGGCCCAGCATGGTGCCTTGAGACGAGTCACGTGGCGACGAGTCACGTGGCGACGAGTCACGTGAAAGAGTGAGAGTTCTGTGGAGAAATGTGGAAAACATACAAAAAAATACAAAAAACTATGGAAAATCACGATGTTATTAATGGGCAAATCCACTATTTCAATGGCCATTGTCAATAGCTATGTTAAATTACCAGAGGGTATATAGATATACGTATTGATGTGGATAAACGTTTGGCTGGTTGGTGGTATACCTACCCCTCTGAAAAATATGAGTTCGTCAGTTGGGATCATTATTCCCAATATATGGGAAAATATAAAATGTTCCAAACCACCAGCCAGTAAATATTTTATATACCTTCTGGTAAACAAACATAGCTATGAAACATCACCATCTTAGTAGGTAAATCAACTATACATGGGCCATGGCTTCCAGTTCGCTACGTTAGTTTACTACAGGGTAATCCTATCCCCCGTTAAAATATATAGTAAAGGTCCCAAAATTTTAGATGATTAAGAATATTTAGGCCCTTTCCATATCCTCTGGATAGATTTAGGGGATGTAAAAGGTAATCAATCCCATCCGTTAAAAACATGATCCCCTAAAATACGTCATATAAATACCTAACTTATCCTGGTTGGTGGTTTCAACCCCTCTAAAAAATATGAATCAGTTGGGGTTACTATTCCCAATATATGGAAAGTCTAATCAAATTCCATGGTTCCAGTCACCACCAACCAGTTATCATTTAAATAGTTTTTTTTCATCTTCCCCTAAATCTTTGGTCCCCCAAAAAAATATACCTTCTGGTAAACTAACATAGCTATTGAAAATGACCACTTATAGTGGATTTTCCCATTGAAAATGGGGATTTTCCATAGTTATGTTAGTTTACCAGAGGGTATGGTCCCCAAAAAAAATATATCTTCAACATCAATAAATTGGGATTCCCCATGGTTCCCCTAAATCTATGGTTCCACACCACATCGTTGGGATCATAGGACTTCAACATCCCCGATGGTCCTATGGTCCCACGGTTCATCCCCAAGAAACATCGGACGTTCATCCGGTACAATGAACCACAGATTGCGACTGGTTTATACACAGTATATGTCTATGTATACTATATATATATATTTATTTATTTATTTATTTTATATTGTATATATACATATATATCTATTGTATATATAATATCCATTATATATATTATATATATATATATATTATGTGTACAGTATATATATATATATATTATATTGTTGTGGATCCCACATGTAAAAAGAAGTAAAAACTTTTCCTGTTGCTAACATCTTTTGGCTGCTCAAGCACGGGGATACGCCAAACATTACATGTCACATATGTTGGGAGTATTAACATAAATCTGCCAGCTATGTCACTGCCCATTTTGTTGTTTAGTGCCATAATTGATGGGTCTAAAACCCCATTGTTGGCTGGTTAAATTCGAATTGCTCATCGGTGACATCCACATTTTCACTGGGGATATCCGTTGCATATTCCCATGTTTGATGATGTTCTTCGACGATCCGAATTTTCCCAATCAATCATTGTTGGACACAACACATATCTAGTATCAATTGGCTAATTTCAAATCATTGATGGTTCAGGACCTATCATGGTTGAATCCTCAAATCATTTGCGCTGGTAGAATCCCATGCTTTGCTATTCAAATCCAATATGGGATAATAATAGGACAATCATGGGATTGTGAACCATATGGATTAATATTGGGATAATAACGGGACAATAATAATGGACAATAACAATAATAATGACAATGGCGGGATAATATTATAATGACAATAATGATATTGGGATAGTAATGGGATAATAATGTGAATATTCCGATTACCCTCTGGTATAGCTATGAAAAGTTACCATCTTAACACTCAAATCCTTCTCAACATGGGCCATGGCTTCCAGTTCGCAAACTGTAACGAATTACCCAAGGCTATCAAGGCACCAAAGAGCATGGGAAATCCCAAGGCATAGATCACCAAGACACCTGGCTGCTGCTACTATTTGAGGGTTTCCATAAATGGGGGTACCATGGGGTACCCCAAGCTCGCTGGATGGTTTATTTCATGGAAAATGCCAAACAAAAATGGATGATGTGGGGGTACCCCTATGACTTCCGAAACCTCCATTTATCTCATGAGAATCTCTTGTTTTTTCTTGTGTTCAATGGGGAGATAATCATGTCTTATTGGGAGATCATTGGGACTTCACATGATAGAAGAAACTGGATTTCTGGTGCCTCCTAGCTTGTATGCTGGTTTATTAACCATGGACTAGCGTTCGCATGGGGTTTTGATGACCTGGTCTGAGCCACGGTGGACAGCAATCGCAACCACAGATGATTCTTAGAGACCCGTCAAAAACATATTCTTTCTAGTTCGTCAATGCATTTTACCATTGATAGCAACAGATTAAGTATTAAAGTCCATTAAAGTACCTAACCCAGGTAGACCCAGTATTATTCAACATCATCAGGTTTCTGTAGTGACACCTCTTTGTGACCTATCTGGTGTAGACAACAAAAGAACTGGTTTGCCTTCAAATTGAAATTACTGGCACGTCCAAGTTGCAACATCGATGTTGTCGTTGATGATGATGATGATGAGGAGGAGGCGGAGGAGGATGAGGATGAGGATGAGGATGATGATGATGATGATGACGATGAGGAGGAGGAGGAGGGGAGGAGGAGGAGGATGATGATGAGGATGATGATCATGGTGATCATGATGATCATGATGATCATGATGATGATCATGGTGATCATGATGATGATGATCATGATGATCATGATGATCATGATGATCATGATGATCATGATGATCATGATGATGATTGTTACTATTTATGTTCCCATTCTATTTCTATAGAACGGAAGGTTATATATGTATGTCCCATTAAATCCCATGCAATCCTACTTCGCAGTGCAGTTGAGGTGACAAATGGGTATAACCGTGGTCATAAACCCTTATGACAATGGTTAAATATATCCAGATACCATACATCAATGGAACCGCACTTCCAAGTAATCGCATGATCTTCCCACTACAACCCCATAGTAGCCCATTTAAACCCCTATTTAAAAAAAATCCCATAAATGTCATATACCCTGTGGTAAACTAACATAGCTATGGCAAATCACCATGCTATTAATGGGTAAAACAACTATTTCGACTGGGCCAGCTATTCAATAGCTATTTTGACATAACCAGAGGGTAAATGCCATATAAATCCCTATAAAATCCTCATCAAACCCCAGGTCTCCATCACCTCCCATTGGATGCTATGAAATCATCATATGTTCCCTACTAAAAACCATCGTTTTCCCTGATAAAACGAACCATTGTTTTACTAAAACCATCACTTTTCCTAGTAAAAAAAAACCGTAAAATCACCATGTTCTCTGATGAAGTCACCATTTTCTGTAGTTAAAGCGCATGTTTTCCCCAGTAAAATCACAATTTTCCCACAATTTTCCCCAGTAAAATCACAATTTTCCCCAACAAAATCACAATTTTCCCCAGCAAAATCACAATTTTCCCTAACAAAATCACAATTTCCCTAGCAAAATCATAATTTTCCCCAACAAAATCACAATTTTCCCTAGCAAAATCACCATTTTCCCCAGGTAAAATCACCATTTTCCCCGGGTAAAAACGCATCATGTTTGGCAACAAGCCCTGCCGCACCAGTTCCGCCGCGACCTGCGAAGGTGGCTTTGACCAGGAACGCCGGCAGGGTGCCGCAGCTGCTGGAAAGGCCACAGGGTTCAGTGGCCTGGGAGGCGCCCAGTGATAGTGATTGAATCCCTATAAGATCCCATTCCTGGTTGGTGAATTTAACCCGCATAAGTTGAGATGTAAACACATTAGTAAACCCCAAAAAACTATATGGTTAAGTATCCACTTACAACTGGAACCATACTTGCAAGTAGAAGTGGTGCCTGCCTCATAAAGAAATGATGGGGAAATTTGTGTTTGATGACACAATGATGGAGACTGGTATATCCCGTCAAATCCCACTAAAACGATCCCACTTGGGGGGTGCAATTGAGATTACTTTTATGGGTATACCATTGCTGGTTGGTGGTATACCTACCCCTCTGAAAAATAACGTTATGATGATAGTTAGCCATGATTCAAAAATTCCATTGGAAGAAATTGTTACCCATGATGATAACAAGATAGTAACAGTAAAACTATAATTCAACATTCCCTGGTTGGTGGTTGAGCCACCCCTCTGAAAAATGTGAAAGTCAGTTGGGGTTACTATTCCCAATATATGGAAAGTCATAAAACATGTTCCAAACCACCAACCAGATTCCCATCACAAGCCCGTGAAACCCCACGAAATTCAATCCCAAAAATCCCGAAAGAAACGAAGCTCAACTGCACCAAGTAGATTTCTAGGCCCCCAAGAAATCCCATATGGCCATGGATCAATACCTATAACTACCATTTTTTAGGGGGATGAACATCCATTATATAATTAACCAGCTATTTTGATGTGAACAAAGGGGTACCAGGTGACTTGACCCTGAACAAAAGGGGTACAAAAATCCTCACCTCAACTGCACCAAGTAGAAAGAAGTAGAAATAGGCCCAGAATCCTATCTAAATCCCCTATCAATCCCCTATAAACGTCATATAAATGCCATAGAAAATCACCCGAAAATACCACCCCCCCACCTTCGCAGCCATTTCTGGTAGTGCTGTGAAGACAGTGCCCAGCTCACCTGGCAGGCTGAAAAGTTTTAGCACTTCCTGAGGATCCCATGGGGATGTTATGATGATTCTATAGGATTTAATGGGCCATTTAAGGGGGTTGATGGTGATTGCATTGGATATAATGGGAATTTTACTAAAAAGAACGGAGATATGGAATTGAGATTTAATGTGATTTGAAAGGACTCGGGATACAACGAGATTTACTGGGATTGAATGAGACTTTTTTAGGGATTTAATGGGTGTTCATAAAGAGATCACCAGCAATGGAGGGTTGAACTAGGTAACCTTTGGATTTTGAACTATGAAAGATTGATACTTCACCATCAAGAACTACCCTCTAGTTATTTAACATAGCCATGGTTAAGCCATGGCCCATAGAAATAGATGGTTTACCGTTCTTAAAAATGGTGGATCTTTTCATGGCGAACTGTTAGTCATAACCAGATGGTAATCAATTCATGGCCATGATACCCTCTGGTAAACAAACAAAAAACGATGGAAAGATCCACCATTTTTCAATGGGGAAAATCCACGAGCTTTCGACTGGGCCAGCTATTCAATAGCTATTTTGACATAACCAGAGGGTAGGGAGATTGGTGAAGCATGAACACTTGAAGTATCCTCAGCTCTAGCGCAATGATCAACCGCTTGGGGTTTTCCATTCATCCCCAAGCGGTATCCGTCGATGATACTGGCCAGCGAAATCCTGCACCAATTTGGGATGGTATTTCAACCCAAACAAAATTTGTTTATAATTTATAACCCCCATGAATACTATAGATATATCACCTATAAACCATAGTTATTGGAGTTATAACCCATCCAAAATAATGGGATGTTTACCACCGTTTTCAACTGGTGATGAACGGATTTCGCTGGCCCATCCACCATATTACCCTCTGGTAGTGACTAGCAGTTTGCGAACTTGGAAAATCACAACTTTCCATAATCATAGGCAAATCAAGGAAAATGGGCTTTTTTTCCGTGGCTATCGGCTATGTTAAATTACGAGAGACTAAACCACAAATCGGGCATGCTGCCATGCCGGGCATTCCTGTGGATCCACCAATCAATTGGGCTTACGTTACATCCCAACCAAAACCATGAATTCAAACTTCCAGGAATGAACTGGGCTCATCAAATAGGCCAGTTCCCTTGGAAAACTGGAAATCCCTCAAAATTCTGAAATCACTTTGAAAAAGATCCGATATGTCGAACCAACATCCTGGCACTTGGATGGAAGCAACGTCTTTGATGGAACACGTGGAACATGGGAGAATTTTGCTAGCAGTGATGATGTGATATGTCTTCACTCACTTGGATGTGTCATCAATGGTGAACTGAACATGATCGGGACACAGGGATTTACAGGATGGTGCCCCAAGTTATATGTTGGTTTATAATCCTATTAACTATGTATATAGTACACTATACTTCATTGTAATTGGAGTTGTGTTCACCAACTTAGCTATCATAAATCAGTTATAAATCACATTAAACCATATTAAACCCACATTTTCCAAGAACCTTAGAATTATATATCTACCATAAACCATAGAATTCTGCCACTTTCTGAAGGCGTTTCTGAAGGCTACCTCCCACCCATCCAGATTTTCAACAAAGAGCCACAGTTTAGCTAGTGAAGTTGCCTTAATGGGTTCTTGGTTCACTGTTGGGCTTGTGGTTGATACATCTATAGTTTCAATAAGTGGATGTAAGTGGATGTACCCTCTTGTAATTTGTTACATAGCTATTGAATAGCTGGCCATAGACATAGTGGATTTTCCCCATTGAAAAATGGTGGATCTTTCCATAGTGATGTGAAATAAGTGGTATAAAGCAGGCCATTTATAGTGGATTTTCCCATGAAAAATGGGATGTAAGTTAGTAAAAAAGCAACAACCATGACGTTTTGGGGTTCCAACCCAGTCAATCCTTCTTGAATCATTATTTCTCGTGGGAATCCACCAAGTCTTAGAGGTTTAAAAAAAAAAACTGCTGAGCATAAAGGATGCCGCACTCAAATCCCATGACATCCCATAAAATCTCTATTGAATCCCATTAACCCTCTATTAAAATCTAATTTAATTCCCATTAAACCCCCCATGAAATCCCATTAGACCTACAACGCATCCCGCCTGTGACGCCCGCAGGGTACAGCAAGAGAAAGGTGGAATATCTCAACCAGGTGAGAGGAGCCACTTGAACTCCAGCGGTGTTTAAGGCGTAATACCTGGCGGTGTTTAAAGTCAACACTGGGTGGGAAATTGTTGGTTTTTCATGGCTATTTCATGAGATTTATATAGATTTATGAGGTATTTTTGACAGCTATGACACATTTCTAAGATTTGGTGGTTTTGAAGAGTATCTGAATGTAGCCCGTCCCCGATGGGTTTATCACTTTCTATTTCACTCCGTGAAAACGACACACAAAAAAAACGATGCATCAACAAGACATGAAAAACACATGAAAAAAACACACGCTCATATGTGCTAAGGTCAAAACATGGTGTATGGTTTGTGGTCATACATCTCATACTAGGAACTCTTATAATGGATGTATAGTTCCTTATAGATTTATGTCTATCCCCAAAGAACTGGGTTAATTCAATCCAACGAATTTGACCATGGCTCACATAACGTGACACATTCCGAGGGAACAAACGGCCTGCAAGGCTCTTTGAAGTAGTTGGTTAGCAGCTGGGGCCAGCTTCCCCGGTTGACGGACAATGAGATTTAATGGCATTTTCATGCTGATTGAATGGGAATCTTCATTCAAAACATGGTTCCCAAAATAACAGTTGGAATTGGAATGTCGCATCCCCCCACAAAATTACAGCACTTGAACAATTTGCTGACCCCGGATCTTGCAAGATCCTTAGCCACTGTTCCTAAGACCCCCACGGGGGACATGTCCCTCGACTATCATTGCCCCTGGAAGCTGCTGATCGTCCCACCGATTTATCGACCTCCATTTTGGACCCGGATTTTCCCCATCTTGACTGGTTACTCCCAAGAAGTCCCCATCGAAAATGGATGGTTCAAGAATGTCCAAGAAGTACCTCAAGGTATATTCCGTAATAATCTCAATCAGCATCCCATAATCACCCGATAAAAAAATTCCCATTCATATACCATCAATGCCATGGTATATCCCATGATCATCCCATAGGGTACTTCATTGAATCCCATGAATATCCAACAAATCGCCATTAAATCACCATTGAAGATTAAATTGGATTATGTTCCAATTAAATCACTTAAATCACCATGAATATGTTCCAATTAACATTGAATTAACCATATTTCCATTACTCCTACATCGAAAATGCAGGTTTTAAGGCGCAACAAAGAGTATATTCTACTACCGTCCCACAATCACACCATTTGTATCACCCAGTAATTACACGATTCATGTACTATGTGCATCCCATTAATATACCATTTATATCGCATGTACATCCCATAGTCGTAAGGTAGTTCAGTGAATCCGCTGTAATCACCATTGCATCCCCATTAGCCTCTGGTAAACTCGCAGTTTGCTCGTGAAAATTAGTTGTTTATCACTGATTTACCCACTAAACATGGTGATGTTCCATCGTTTTCTGGTTGGTGGTGTTAACCATCTTGAAAAATATGAGTTCGTCAATGGGAAGGATTATCCCATCTATGAAATGGATAATAAAAGCCATGTTTGAAACCACCAACCAGATTAACTATAGTTATATATAAACCATTATAAACCCACATAGCCATTAAATCACCATATCTTATAACCAATAAACCACTAAATAACTTACCAGAGGCTAGTTGACCACTTTGATCCGCACGATCCGCCCCTAGGCACAAATAGCGAATGACTTCTGTGACGCTCCAGGCGATGTAGAACAGAGTCCTCGGGACGTTCATCAGCTCCACAAGTTAGGAAATCCCCATGAACAATGAAATCGACATGGAGAAAACCATAGGAAAACCATAGGAAATATTGGAGATATGGAGAAATATGGGGAAAACAAGCTATTTCATGGAGAAAAATTGTGGGAAAACTATAGGAAATATTGGAAATCGACATGAAAAATGAAAGTTTTAATTAGAACATATGGGAAAACATCCCAGCGGACAAATTATACCGCTCCACGAAAATGTAAAAATAACGACGGCGCCACAGCGACATGATTTCATCTGCCAAATAATAGGTTCCAAAATTATAAGTACGCAAAATATAAATTCTTAACCGGCGTTTTTGTTCCTGCAAAACGATGCGAACTCGTTTTCACCTTTTTGGGTTTGCTGGTCGGTCACAACTTCTTTTAGAGTTTTGCCGGTTTTCACTGAAAAGTCAGCGAATTTATCTCCCATCTCTAATAATGGGTACTTCGGACGCACGACCAAAGCTTTGGGCTCGCCGTTTTGCAAATTCATTACACGCTTCTTGACTCATGAAGCACAGGACACTCTTTCACTTTCGCACTCCGAAGCAAGCAAAGCAAAAAGTGCGGCCATATAAGGCTAATATGAAACGTGTTACGGAATTTCCTTCAAGTGTCGTAACCTGTTCCGTGTTTCAAACTCACCCTTCCAGTGACGTAAAATGTTCCGTGCCTCCTCAACGCAGTCTTTAGGGTGTGCAGCTTGTACTTGAACGTTTTTCGCCCCTTCCCAACCACATGTATGAGACTTGGGCACATTTGTGAGGCCGTAAACGGTCCGCTAGCAAAAACACCTATAAATTTCCATAGCTAGTGGTAGATTTCCTAAAATTGGATACTGAAATGAAGCCCTCTCACTCAGCATCGGAAGTAAACTGATTTCGTTAGCATAAAACATCCAGAACAGCAAAACTTTGCATTACCTCTGCATCAGATCAGATCCTGCCATCCACATATCTCAATGCTGCCACAGTAAGTGTAAACAACAACCTTTTTCGTCGATATAACCCGCAATATATATATGTTCAAATACATACTTTTATATTCCCAAGATATCCTCAAAACACACCACTATTTCTGTTGGTTATTAAAAAAACACTAATGTTGTTAAAACCACGACTTTGCCAAAGGGCCATCTGGGAAGGGATTACTTCAATTTATCCGTGAAAAAGAAGCCTATCCCATCCTGAAATAGCGGTTGCTAAAAAGGTATCCCTATCATTGGCTGCCAAACCATTTCTCCAAAGGCTAGCCTACTTAGAAACCAACTTACTTATCGCTCGAGTCCGTTGACCTCTTGGTACCTGCTTACGGTTGCGCGTTTTGGCCTTTTTGGCCTTTTTGGCCTTCGCCTCCAGGTCAAGGCCCAAAAGGGGACACTATTTTCAAGGAGGTATGTGTGTGTGTGATATATAAACTAAGTATATAAATTTATGGATGTATATAATATTTATGTTAAAAGTCTGAAAATCTCTCTCTTAGGCTGAGGAGTTTCATCACTTATACTTATTACCATTCTATCTGTCTTCATGATGATTGAACATGGGGGGATCAGAGTAATGGAAATGTCCGTGGACTTCGGAAACGCTGGAATTTTGGCCAAGCTGAGGCGTTCGCTAACTTTTTCCCTTTTTAGAGTAAACAAATAGGATGAGTGCCCACACAAGCCAGCTTTGGTTCATAAATTTGGTGTCATCCCCAACGGAAAACAAACGGCATTACATTGCATTACACTGCATTACGTTGTATTGCATTGCATTACATTGCATTACATTGCATTACATACCATTACATACCATTACATACCATTACATACAATTACATGCCATGCCATGCCATTACATTACATTACATTACATTTGCATTACATACCATACCACTACATACAATTACATACCACGACCTACCACTACATACATTACATGCCATTACTCACCTCTTCAGGGTTGTGTGGCCATGATGTTTGATGAGGGTAAGTATCCCGATAATAGTTTTTTTTAACCTTTTGGATATGTTTTTTGATCCTGAAGCCGTGCATGGACGTGTACAGAAGCTGTACGGTGCTGTACTGGAAGGTGGCATTTTGGAAACAATTTGAAAACAATATATACTCATTGTATAATAAAGCATTGCTGCATACATTGAGGAGTTTTGCTTGGAGTTGTCACTACCTACTTTGGGGTTCGGCTGGACGATGTTAAATTATGACCCGCTGCCGCCATTTCACAGCAATATCAGCAATTGCATTTTTTTTGCGGCACGAAACGGCAATTCAAAATGTTAATCGTTGTCAGTTTCACTTTCCACATGGCATGTTCCCCTTCGCCTGATCTTCGAAGCCGTCTTCAGATGGCTCGCCTTGAGTGATCCACTGTCGAATTCAACAGCGGTGATGGTATGATTCACATGAATTCAAAATATCGAGGTGCTAAAAGAAACCATGTCATATGAAAGATTTTATATATGTTCTGAATTTAAGTGATTCGAAATATTGAGCTGCTAGATCTATTTGAAGGTTTCTATTTGAAAGTTTGGGCAAATGTCATTGATTTTTTAGGCTGCAGTCCTATGGAATCATGACCATTCACCGTGTACGTAGCCCAGTTGCGGCTCTCCATGTCGTCATAGTAGATGGTTGGAGTGGTGCGCCGATGGAGCCTTGGAGTTGCTAAGAGGCACCAGTTAATCCACCCAGAAGTAGAATAGCAAGAAACTGGCAGAAAATTTGAAAGAAAAATGATCCACCCCAGAATTCCAAACAATCTGATGAAATCACAAGAAAAAAACTCGCCGCTGAGGCTCCTGGCATTCCGCCAAACTCCATGGAGTCGGCGTAAAGAACCTGAGTTTCAATGACAACCATGCTGCTTGACTTCCAGACTAAATAGAAAATAGATGAAAATAGTATCTGTGTAATCTCCGGTCCCATGACGTCCAGTCCCTGGCTTATCCCACAGACAAATTGACAAATGTAATTATCACTGCCAATCCTGCGGAGTTATCACATGCGATTGAGGGTCACGCGTCCATCTCCCAGCTGCACGAAGCATCCGGCGTTGCACAACATTCACCCTTTAAACCTGCGATGTGATCAAGGGTAAGTTTGTTGGCAATACAAAGTCCAGAAAAGAACGCAATACGACTCAGGCACACCTTGTTCCAGCAGTGCAATAAAAAGCGGGACGTTTTCAATACGGTCAAAAGCTTTTGTTGAATCAAGGCTGGCAAACCAGAGTGGCGCATTCCATTCCAAACATTTGCCACACATCGTCTCGAAAAAAATGCATCTTCATGTTTGATGTATGCCTTGGTGTGCTTCCGGAGTATTGCGCCATCGGACATATACAATTTTCGAAAATATTTTGTTGTAAATGTAGTCCAACAGATTAAGTGCCTTCCGGCCGGGCCTCGGCTCAGCAACATCCCCAACAGAATCCAATAGACCTGGTTGTCAGGTCGTCAGGCCGTCAGGTTGAGTCTGCCATCCAAGTTCTAGCTCGATGTTCTCGCATGGCTGTCCAAGTTGTCCAAATGGTTCTGTGCAATCAAGCTTGAACATTTTGAACTAAGAAAAGTACTGGCTCTGGCAGGAAGCCTCCCAAGGTCTCAAGGCCAAACTTCGGTAATAATGGGGCCACATGTTGGCCCGGCACATTCACCGCCCGACAAAATAAAGCCTATGTAATGCCCAACAAACAACGCAATACGACGACATGTATCATACTATTGTACAATACTGGCAGGACTATACCGACTATACCCTATGCTGATGATTCAAGTAATACCGCACAAGGCGGTGGCGGAAGTTTCAAAATAGGAAACCTAAGGAGAGGTTGGTTGTTGTGAATCACGGATGGCAGAGCGAATCCGCTGATGGACCGAAAGGTGGTTGGAGTTGTGTCTTTTCGAGTGGTTGCAACGTTTGCAGCGGTCATCTCACCACAACTGCTGGATGTAGTGTGGTGTAGTGCAGTTGTAGTTGTGGTCGTAGTTGTAGTGTAGTGTAGTGCGGAGTTGTAGTTATAATGTTGTGTAATTAGTGTAGCGCAGGTGCAGTTGCAGTTGTAGTTGTGGTGTGGTGCAATTAGTGTAGCGTATTGTAGTGTACAGTTAGTGTTGTGCACTGTAGTTTGGTATAATGTAGTGTAGTCTAGTGTAAGGTAGTGCAGCTGTAGTTGTAGTGTCGTGCAATTAGTGTAGAGTCGTGTGGTGCAATTTAGTGGTAGTTGCATTTGTAGTTGCAGCTGTAGTGTAATGTAATGTAATTCGTGTAGCGTAGCGTTGTGTAATGCAATGTAATGTACTGTACTGTAATGTAACGTAACGTAATGTAATGTAATGTAGTTGTAGTCGCATTTGTATTTGTAGTTGTAGTGTGCAGCAGTGTAATTAGTGCAGTGTAGTGTAATGAGTCCCTCGCTTATCCCACAGACAAATTGACAAATATCATTGCCAATCCTGCGGAGTTATCACATGCGATTGAGGGTCACGCGTCCATCTCCCAGTGGCTTCCCGGATAGCGATCTCCTGGCTGAGAGTGTCGCTCCCAGTTGTACCCATGCACATATCCCAATGTAAATGTGGTCCAACAGATTAAGTCAGATGATTTCCCATCTCACTGCAGTTGACTTGGATTACAACAGCTCAATTTGGTCGTTGCCTTCCTGCTGGGCCTCGGCTCCAACGCCACGCCAGCCACGTCCCCACAAAAATGCAAAGAGCCTCGTTGCAAAAACTGGTCGCTTCAAGTGATGTCATGATCTCTTTCGGAAACGTTCATTCGGTCTGGATACACTCAAAATTATTCAGCAATAATCTTCTAATATATTGGACAGACTTTGTCAAATTTCTTGAATTATAGATCCGGATACGCCACATGTTAACAACTTCACCAGACTTAGACTGAGCATAGAAAAGCAACAAGGGAAGAGGAAGTATGAGATTGATGGAGGAGTAGTAGGAGTAGGAGTAGGAGTAGGAGTAGGAGTAGGAGTAGGAGTAGGAGTAGGAGTAGGAGTAGGAGTAGGAGTAGGAGTAGGAGTAGTAGTAGTAGGAGTAGTAGTAGTAGTAGTAGAGTAGTAGTAGTAGTAGCAGTAGTAGGAGGAGTAGTAGTAGTAGTAGTCCTTTTGCGTGGCAGGCGCGGGACCTGGTGCTAGACAGATAGATGGATAGATCGGATAGATAGATAGATTGATTGACAGATAGATAGATAGGTAGATAGATAGAGAGATGGATTGATAGCTAGATAGATGATTAGTTAGATAACTCACATCCGCATGTACATCACTACGAAAGTGACACACCTGTACATGCACATACATACATACATACATACATACATACATTCATACATACATACATACATACATACATACACACAAACTCACACACCATCACCCCTACTCCTACTCCTACTCCTACTCCTACTCCTACTCCTACTACTACTACTACTACTACGACTACGACTACGACTACGACTACGACTACGACTACGACTACGACTACGACTACGACTACGACTACGACTACGACTACGACTACGACTACGACTACGACTACGACTACGACTACGACTACGGCTACGGCTACGACTACGACTACGACTACGACTACGACTACGACTACGACTACGACTACAACTACGGCTACGGCTACGGCTACGACTACGACTACGACTACGACTACGACTACTATTATATTACTACTACTATTACATCCGACCCCTTTGCAGTGCACCAAGTCTCACACCTGCCACGCAAAAGCCACCGGCAGAGCGAGCGAGCGAGCGAGCGAGCGAGCGAGCGAGTGAGTGAGTGAGTGAGTGTGAGTCAGAGTGAGTGAGGGTGAGTCAGACAGAGAGAGAGAGAGAGTGAGAGAGAGAGTGAGTGAGTGAGTGAGTGAGCGAGGGAGGGAGGGAGTGAGTGAGTAGGTGGTGGGTGGGTGGGTGGCTGGGTGGGTGGGTGGGTGCGTGCTGCGTGAGTGGGAGGGAGGGAGGATGGAGGAGTGAGGGAGGGAGGGAGGGTTGGTGGGTGAGTGGGTGTGGGGGAGAATGGGAGGAGGGGGAGGACAGGGGGAGGAGGGGAGAGGCGGGAGGAGGAGGAGGGAGGAGGAGGAGGGAGGAGGAGGAGGAGGCGGCGGCGGCGGAAGAAGGAGCGGAGGAAGGAGCGGAGGAAGGAGCGGATACAGAACTGTGTAACAGGGACTTCCATGGGCTTCCCTATTACTACCGCAGCAATTTCATGCCATCCATCTTGGCCATCCAGGACAATGCTAAACTGTGCTAAACAATCCATTTTCGGGGTGTCCCAATTTTGATCCCTGCCCATGGATGAAGGGGAAAATGGCCAAGAAACCACGATATTTGGGAGTAACAACCATGGTTTTCTGTACTTCCTCAAGCAATCATCAAATCATTACAACAATCCAATGATTTTCTCACCCAGTCAAGTTTCCGTTCTGAGGACTTTACGCCAACCAAGACTGCAACGCCCAGAAACCAGAGCAAACCGACCAGGACGCGAGCCTTTGAACCGCCACAATCCAAGTTTGGGATGAATGTCCAGGAATAGCCATCAAAAACGGCGAAAAGAACCATGTTTAACCAAGGGAAATTTGGCACCTAATTTGTTTGAACAAACACAAGTGCTATGTCCATACTTCTCAACATCTCAGTCACAGAGGCCCAGCCTGTGCACGTTTCTTCTTCCGGCTGATCGATTTCTTCAGGAGGTGCAGGGTCTGCCCACCATATGTTCCAACACAGGCCCCAGCAGGCCAAACCGTGCGCAGTCTACAAAGACAGTCAGAAATGGCAGGCTCGTTGCACGGGAAAAATTCACCATGAGCATGCAAGTCATTTACCAGCCTCTGTAAACTAGGCGCCTTGTGATGCAGAATATCCACCATGATCTGACACTGTCTTGACAAATTTTCCAATGCTCAAAAATCCCAATGAAATCCTCGATTATTTTTCCAATGCTGAACAGATCCTCGAAAAATCCTCGGCTCCTGGACAAATCCTCGAAGAATCCTCGCGATCCTCACAACAAATCTTGGAAAAATCCGCGAATCCTCGACAAATCTCATGAAAAGAACTCACCCCCTCGGGGGAAAACCAAAATATCTTCAAATATCCTCTTTGTTTCCTTTAATACCCTTCACATCCTAAGAAAATCCTCGGAAGATATGCGTTTTCTTGAATCTTTGAAGACATGCTCGAACAATCACAACAGAAAACATGTTCTCTTGAAATTACACTTGAAGGATCGAAAAAAAACAATGCTTTTCTCCTGAGATCCTCATCAAGTGCTCAGTAAATCACCCAAAAAAAACTTTACATTCTCCAAAAGAATGATATTTGTTACCGAAACCACCAGGATATCCTGATTTTATCTTCGGAACAAACTTCCTATTGAACCAGGGACATCATCATCATCATCATCATCATCATCATCATCATCATCATCACAATTTCAGTAGTCGAACAACTGTAGTTTTCTGCTAAACTGACGAAACACCATCATTTCATGTTCATTCTTTCCGAAACTCGTTTGAAACCTTCATTAACGCATCGCGTTTTGAACGGAGCATTTAATTTTCATCATATTTTCATTGTATGCGCACCAAGTGTTCAGAATCAGGACTAAATGAGGAATGAGGATTTAGTGATGTTCCAGAATGAAAATTAAATGAGGAGCATTCTATGAGGTTCTAGAATGAAGATTGACTCAGGAATGATGATTTCATGAGGTTACAGAATTAGGATTAAGTGAGGACTTGAAGTTTTGGTGAGGTTCCAGAATGAGGGTTATTGGAAGAATGAGGGTCTGGTGAAGTTCCAGAATGAGGATTAAATGAGGATTAAAAGAGGAAACCAAAATATGATGCTTTCCAATCTGTGACTCGCAGAAATTCTCATAACATTGGCTACTAATCCCCAATTCCTCAATCAACTAGTGAGTACGACCCTCAAGAAGACAGAAAACTTCGAAAGCTGGAAACTATGGGGGGAACAACATCTACCCTCTGGTAAACTAACATAGCTATTGAAAATGGCCATTTATAGTGAGTTTTCCCATTAAAAATGGTGATTTTCCATAGTTATGTTAGTTTACCAGAGGGTATCGCATCCAGGGTTAGACGTTTACCATTTCATCTTTTGGGGGATTGATATAGTTCATAATGGAGACTCTTTTTTGATCAATCCCCAATCAAAGTCAGTTAAGCTACCCACTGAACTATGGTTATTATAGATTAAGTATGGTATATTATGGTATATTATCTGGTTGGTGGTATACCTACCCCTCTGAAAAATATGAGTTCGTCAGTTGGGGTTACTATTCCCAACTGAATGGAAAAATAATCCAAATGTTCCAAACCACCAACCAGTTATGGTTACCTTATGAGTCTCCCACGGGCTAGTTCATCATCCCCACTCCAGTAGTACAAGTCCCTAAGCCATAACTGATCAGGGGTATCTTTAGATGGCTCAGGTGTCTCATCTAAACACGGATTTCCCATAGATTTTCCAATTGCCAAGGTCCCAAAACTAGTGCTTTCTGGTCATCATTTGTACTATCAATCGCCAGGTCCCAAGTCCCAGCCACTTAGACCTATATATATATATATATGGCTATCATAATAATTAATACCCTTTATCAACCAGCCAGTTGTTGTTTTCACTTAATTAACCAATCAACAGGGCTATCTTCAGATGCCTTAGCCAAGCGTCATCCATGGCAGCATGGCTGAGCGACTCGCACTGCTCGATGCGCAGGCGACGACCTGACGCTTCGCTGGGAGATAACTCTTCGTGGTGATTGAGTTAACACAATGTGAGGCCCCCCAGTTATAAGTTGGTTGAAATAGCCCCAGTAACTATAGTTATAAGATGTTATAAGTACCATAAACCATAGTGAAATCGGAGTTATAAACCAACTTAGCTATCTTGGGGGACTCACATTGCATGGAATCATTAAACACCACTAAAGCCAGTAAATGATAGTTATTCCATGATGGTAAATGATTCCATGATTCTAAATAACTAAAGCCAGTAAATGATTCCATGATGTTAAATGATAAAGCCAGTAAATGATAACAAGTGATTCAATGATATCTCGATGATTTAACAAGTAAATGTGGTTACCTAGTTCATGAGATTTCATGGGAATTTGGGTGAATTAATGATGATGTAATGGTATATATGATCAACAAGGTTTCTGATAATGGGGCTTGGTGGTGATGTTTAGGAACTAATTGTGTGTTTTTTTGCCACTAAACATGGCGACAAAATTGATAAATGAGTGAAAATGATATGCAATCAGTTGATGGTTCATTGAATGAGCATCGTAGGAGTTACTAGATGGCCCCAGTTAGTAAGTGAGATAGTTCACCCCAATTACAAGTGGACGATCATCCTACTTACCCTGCTCTTTGGAACTGAGCTCAATTACTCTTCGTTAAATTACATCAGTCACATGAATTTCTCATTAGTCCCATCAAATCCCCATGAAACCGCATGGAAATCCCCATAAAAATCCCTACACCCCCAGTAAATCCCCATGAAATCACATGGAAATCCCCAGAAAATCTCGTCAAATCATGAGATTTCCCCCATGGAAATCCATGGAAAATTCGCCACAGCGTTGGACCAAAACGGCTCCCACAGCGTTTTGACCTGCACTGCACCCACACGAGAGGTGATCTGCATGGCCGTGGTCAGCGGGCTGGATGGAACCTAAAGCTTCGATGGGAGGGCAACGACTTCAGCGGGCACGATGGAAACCATTGGAAAACCATTGGAAAACCATTGGAAAACCATTGGAAAACCATTGGAAAACCATTGGAAAACCATTGGAAAACCATTGGAAAACCATTGGAAAACCATTGGAAAACCATTGGAAAACCATTGGAAAACCATGGGAAAACCGTGATTTTACTGGTGAAAATGGTGATTCTACTGGGGAAAATTGTGATTTTACTCGGGAAAATGATGATTTCTATCAAGGAACATGGTGATTCAATGGTGAGTTAAGGGGGAGCCGGGATTTCCATGGATGATTTGGGATGTCAGTAGTGATTTTCCAACAGAAATATGTGGTATTTTGATCACTAAACTTGGAGACATACACAATTATGCATACATGTATACATATAGATACAGATATGGCAGTGTGTCAAAACCTTGTACCCCTGGTGAACATCAAAATAGCTGGCAAATGGATGTTCATCCCACTAAAAATGGTATTAATAGGTATTGATCCATACCCATATAGACATTCTGCAACCTCCAAAAGGAAGGGGAGATTGAAATTGGAAGACATTGTGATTTCAGCATAGACTGTTAAAGCATGTTAAACGCAACTGAAGTGTGCTGAGGGATGCATATATCTAGTATAATGGGTCCACGTTCAACACCAAACTTGGAATGTATATCTTGAGTTGCCATTTATCGTAGGTGTTCACTTTAGATTGAATAGTTTTCCAAACAAGGATCCAGTGTGTATGTTTTTTATCAACAAGAAAAGGGTGGTTTTAAGCAGCCAGCAAAAAAATGAGGTGTGGGACGTTAAGAAGCATATGGGTCTCAAAGAAAATTAAGATGATTCAAGCAACAAACATGCGGACATCACACTTCATGATGGAATCCCACAAACCATGGGATACTGTAGGGGATAGAATACCTGATATATCACAAGAGCCAAGAGATTCCAAACAATGTCACCAGCCCCAATGACATGCCCTGTTTTATTATGAACCGTGTTGAAAACACATAAAAGAAACTCCCACTTACCATGGCAATTTGTAGATACCCTGCAAGAAACACTACAATTGGATAAAATACATCTCAAATCAACGTGGACCCTGCCATGAGGGGGTTGGAGGACTACATCAATCCAAAACGTAGAGATTCACAAGATTGAGCCCACTTGGTTACCCCTTATGATAGTGTAGAGCACCCCAAAAAAATGCAGAAAATTGGTGTGAATCCAGGATGTGAATTAGATGATATTACATATATTCACTTCATATTTTCAGGTTTAGTTCATCTTTCCTATAATTCAATGAACCATCAACCGAGCATTATCAATTGCATCTCCAATGTTCTGGGTAAATTATAATATTTCACTAACGTGAAACGTGCGGCCTTTCTAAAGGGGATGATTTCCCGAATCCTAACCTAAAAATTCCCAGGGTTCGGGAGAATAGTGAGGTCGTTTTTTTTGGGTGAAAACCAAAATTGGTTAAATCATGGAGAAACTCACCAGGACTCAAAAATGTGGGCTAAAAACCTTGGCTACACATGGAAGAAGTAGGGTGTGTCCGCTTATGCTTGGGGTGAACCCAAGCCCTGGTAAACGATTCCTGGGGTGAGCCAACCTGGTAGTTATAATAGTTATAAAGTTATATCCCATCAAATCCCGATTAAATCCCCAATGAACTCTCATAAATTGGTAGTTGAATACCAAAGTAACCAATCAACCACAGCTAAATTAGCTAAATCTCTCAGTCTCAGTTCACAACAGGGTGGATTTTTGGAAACTTTAATGGGATATGGAAGTCAAGCGACCATGCCCAAAACGGCGTGGATGACCTCTGCTATCTGGAAGTAGGTAAACTTCGAGATGGTCTCCTGCAGTGATCGGTCACAAATCGTAAGCTACCAGCTGGGACAAAAAAGGCCCAGCCGTTGGAAATATGTGTGGTGATGAAAAGTGGACTAACTATAATTTTCACTGCAGTATATTATTACTGGTGACTGAAAAAGGAATTCAAATGGGGTGCTGACGCACTGGTAATTTAACATAGCTCAGGAACATCATCATTTGTAGATATTTGTAGTAGGTAAGTGTTCGAACTAAATGGGCCGTTTTCCATAGCTCCTGGGAACTGTTGGCTTTATATACAGTGGTTGTATCAAAGTAGTGAGATCTGTTAAAACGTGGATGATTGGTTTTCTCGGGGATTCTTTACAGGAAACCATGGTCATGTTCCCAAATATATAGGTTTCCCTCCAGATGTTCCCTTAAACCGTCCCATGAAATACTCGTTTTATCCTAATTGTCGTTTAGCTCATAATCCCCATTAAGGCATTTCAAATGGTTCAAGGTATTCTATGGGTCAGCTAACCCAATCAGTACCCTGTCCACACCTTAAAATATCTGGTCGCAAATTGATGTTCATCACAAATCATGGTATTTCTTAGTAGCTGAATTGTAGTAATTCACTAACCTCAATGGCTGACATAAGGCCATTTACGGACGATCCCCCTTATACATTCACCATCATTCCAGTGACGTCGCGGTAAGGTCATTTTCAATATGTCAATGGGAATTTCAGGATCCTAAAATGGAGGTACTGTACTTAAGGCCATATTTTGTGGTGATATTCACTTACATAGGCCTTACATAGGCCTTATATATGGTAGGTACCTCCATTTTAGGATCCTGAAATTCCCATTGAATATAATTTAACTGAATTGTGATACTCTTCTTGTAACACATCATATGAAGTTGGTTATATCCATATGTAGCAATTCTATTTCCATGTTAATCCATATATTTTGGAAATTGAATCATGTATGGATTAACATTGAAATATAATATACATATTTATATATTGGTATATATAGTTTGTGAATTACAATCCAAACAGGGGATATCTCCCATTTAATATCTCCAATTTTTCATATCTGCCACGTGGCTTCACCCAATCCTCAGCACTCGCAGCACCCTGGCTCCCAATCAAGAAGAGCGCCTGGACGTTTCAAGTGGTGATTTAATGGAATTATACATGGGATCATACATGGGACAATACATCTGGGTAAATTATAATATGATCCTGAATTAAGGCATATTAAAGCCACCAACTTCTTGCGAGCCTGAATCTTGTGGCCATAAAAGGGGATGATTCCCCTTATGAATTCGCCATGATAAACCCAGGCTTCGGGAGAACATGGGACTTGGGACGATCGGACTTTTTCGATCTGAAACACCGGTGCGATAGCCGGCCTGGTAAACGTTAACAAAAAACGATGGAAAATCACTATTTTTAATGGGAAAACTCACTATAAATGGTGATTTTCAATAGCTATGTAACAAATTACCAGAGGGTAGCCTCCAATGTGTCTTTGAACGAACATGGCTGAGAAATTCCCATCGTTCTCTCTGGAATGGAAGCATCGAAGTCTATCGAAGTATGGGGAGTTTCCCAGGGAGCCAACTACCAGAGGCTATTTCGAAACATACCCAGCCTGGTAAACGTGAACAAAAAACGATGGAAAATCATCATGTTTAATGGGAAAAAAACAACTATTTCTATGGCTAGCTATTCAAGTTCGCAAACTGTAACAGTCATAACCAGATGGTACTACAAATGTAGAGTTGGGGAAATCCAATCCAAGTACGATCAAGAGCAGCAGAAGCCCAATATCCCAATTAGGTCACCTACAAAAGGGTGTGATAGTCAGCAGTTGGAAGGAATCATCTCATGTTTGTGGGTTATTCACCCCATCGAACTGTATATCCGCCAATATCCGCCCTAGATATCCATCGGATAGATCTGCAAGGTGGTGCCCCAGTTTGTTAGGCGATGTTAGGCGACTTGGTCATAACTAGTAACTAGCTTTCATTTAACCGTAAAAATGTGGATTTCATGGGATTTCATGGGATTTTGTTCGCCAAGTTGCTTTACTTCACTAGGCGGACACTCGCGTTTATGGTAGATCTATGTTTCGTCAAAAGCCACCCTGGTACGATACCCCGAGTCATAGTTGGGCTAAGGTATAGCCGGATCTTTATTCTGTTTATTCCCCTATGGTAACAACTGATTTTGACCCATACCCCTAGGGGTTTTTATGTTTTTTTTGCTAAGCAACATGAGTCGCTTGGTACCAAGCTGAGGGGTTCAACTACCCTCTGGGTCATGGGGGGTACCCTAATAGTTGGATGTGTTGTAATGGAAACTCCCAAACAAAAATGATAATATGTGGGGGTTACCCCCATGGGAAACCTCCATATCTGACACTCAACCACATGTCAGGTACCTACCATAAGTTTTTTGGCCTTTTTTAAAGGCCTAAGGGAATTTCCCATTGACCATATCTGACAAAAAACCTCATCTTTGGTTATTCAACCACATCCATTTTTTGAACAACTTTCCACATGTCAAGGCGCCCATGACCAACCCATCATCTGCAGGGAGGAATAGATCACCAACCAACACGGGACCAGCATCGAAGCGATGATATAGGCCACCGCTGAACACCTCAGCCATAATTTTTTCATGGTTGCATCCTACTGAGTAAATGGGTGAAAAAAACAGGTTTCATATGAGGATGGGTCGAGTACTTACTACACCGGCTGTTTTGGGGTACCGTTTGGGTACCAGCTATGGCTTATGAAGCAGTAACTTGATGCACATCAAAGTAAGGGTCATAAACATGTGCATAACCAAGAAAGCATACAAATTCCATATTTTGATCTTAGTTTATAGACCACGTTGATACTTGGTGGTTCATCCCCGAAATCGTGCGTAGCATCACCCCAATTGATCCAGTAGGGTAAGTAGAGTCAGTTGGAAGGTGAGTCCCCACCAAGTTATAACTTAGTTTATAAGACTACTACCTACTTAAACTATACCCATCAACTAGTCAAACTAACCCATGGGGATATAAGTTAGTCTATAAACCCATTAATTTACTAGTGAGTTTATTGGGGATATAAACACATTAACTAGTTCGTTACAACCCCTAGTCAAGCAAACAGTTCACCAAGGCAAATGTGCGTCAACTTAGCGAGTTTTCGTCAATGGTCAACGGAGGCCTCAACTGCCAAGCAGACACCAAAAACCGTCAGATTCATATGGAAAATGCCTCCTGAAATTCATGTTCAAGTATCGTCACTCCAAAAAAGATAGAAAGGTACATCTTTGGGGGGGATGACTATACTTAACTGGCAAAATAGGAAAAACATCTATTTTGATAGTCATTACCAACCAGATCAAAATAGTAAAGATCCTACTTTTTCTATATCTTTTGGGGGATGACTATAATATTCATCTTCCACCCCTTTTTCGCTTTTTCACATGATCCATTGGCCAAGCCCTTGAGATCCTATCCTCGCAGAAAAGTCAAGTTTCTTGTGCGGAAAAACAGCTGGGAGAAATATACGGAACAATCATGGGAACTATGCGAGAGAATAGTTAATCATCATGTTTGATTCAAAGTTTTTCATCAAACCTTTGATCGCCTTTCATCTACCCTCTGGTAAACTAAGATAACTATGGAAAATCACCATTTTTAATGGGTAAATCAACTATAAATGACAATTTTCAATAGCAAGCTGTTAGTTTACCAGAGGGTAAGTTTAGGATTGAAGCAGTTGTGTGTTCCACGGTTCGTGATTTGCGGCAACAAAATGTGATTTATCATCCCAGTAGACCATTCCCGCAATGATTTTGAACAAAACTGCCCCCGGGTAAACAAACATAACTTGCTGGAACATGCGGTAGTTCAATGATTATGTATATATTGCACATATCTACATATATATTTATATAATATGTATATATATATATCGCTATATATAAGGGCACATATAACTACTGTATATTATATTATATTATATTATATCATATTATACTGTATTATATTATATTATATTATATGATATTATATTATATTATGTTATATTGTATCATATTATATTATATTAAATTATATTATATTATAGTATAGTATATGATATTATATTATATCATATTATATTATATATTATATATTATATTATATTATATTATATTATCTTATCTTATCTATATACATAGATATACACATAGATATACATAGATATATAGATATACATAGATATATAGATATATAAATATATATGTAGATATATATATATATAGATATATAGATATACAGAGGATGTTCCCCATATGTGTCCATGTTGTCCCATAGTTTTCCCTTAAAGTACCTATTTTCCCCTGATTTTCCCACGTTTTACCATTCCTTTACCCGAAGCACAAATCCATGGCACGGACCGATGGTGCTGAACTTGTAGCCCGTCCGCCATGCTCCTCCATGGAAGGCAGTAGCCGTGAAGAGTTGCATCGGATTCTGCAAATGATTCTCAGGTCGACCTGGCTTCACAAGTTCTGAGGTGGCTATGACTCAAAACCTTGCAAGGTTTATATCACCTAATTAAACCCCATTAGATATATCATTATATCACCCATAAACCATAGTTATTGGAGCTATAAATCAACTTAGCTATCGACTGGGGTCACCACCTTGTGGTACCATAGGTCCTAATAGGTTTTTCCCAAAATAGCTGGCGAATGACAGTTTCACCCAAAGATTTTTTAATAATCGGTTTTGAGCCATCACCAAGTCCTCATCGTCAGCGGGGCTTGTGCAATAAAAAAGCAACAAATCATACCCTCTGGGAAACTAACGACAGCTATGGAAGCCTCATGGTTGATATTATTTGATTTACCGAACATGGTGATTTTCCAGTTCGCTATGTTAGGTTGCTGACTGGTAACACAGCAACCCACTCTTCGCCACAGTGCTTCCGGTCAAACAATGGTGGTAATTACTCTAAACTCCGAGGATCACTGTGTTTTGGGACTCATTTTGGGGGCAAAGCCATTAAAAATGATGAGCCACGCGTTCTTTCGGACTGGACAGGGCTGGAAGAAACTCCACCAAGCTACCCGCACTCAATGGATTTCTCAAATCATTCACCAAAAGTCCCAGCATCACGGCGTTGGAGGTTTCTCCTCACGTTGAGTCAACTGGATGCGAAAGGGGCGGTTCAGTACAGGATGGGGCCCCCGTTCGATAGCGTTCAGTTGCCTGATAAGTGGCTTAACTATGGTTTATCCTAGATAAAACTATAGATAACTATGGTTAATGGGGTTTATAAACCAGCAAACATCACTGGGGGGCCCTGTACACATCAACAGACATCGACCTGGGTCGCAGCGAGTTCAGTGTGTGTTTTTTGAATGCACAGCGCAAAACACAGGATCGACATTGAAAAACATAACCCTTATCCATAAAAATGGGTGTTGTATTTATTTTGCAGCACAATAGAGCTTTGGGGCGGCGTCCCAAATTCTCTGCTTCACTCTTTCGAAACTAATCGGCTCCTTGGAAAACTTCCATGGGTTTGAAGTGATGCATGCCTGAAGCACAGCACTGCACAATGTCGCCGGCATACGTACCACAAACTGCGAAAGGGAGCTTCCTAAAGGTTGGGTCGGGGTGATGTTCTTCCAGATTCCTCACACACTGACAGCTGTGGCATTTTGATATGGCTTTGAACGCCAACAATGTTGCTCCCAGCGCCGTGTTCCCTGTTACAAACAAGTTGTTGTTGCATCAGTCAATGTGTTTCTGGATTTGACTGCGGCTACAGCGACCAAAAATTCGGCGTGAAAATGTGATTGTCTATTGGCCGCTGCCTGAACGATTCACCTATTTGTATATATGTGCGTACGTATAATAAGATAAACACATAAAAACATGCATGAAATCCCAAATATGCAAAAATGATTAAAAATGTATATGTGTTGTAGAATCCACATGGCAACCCCAGACTAGATAGAACAATTGGAGATCTTGAAATCTTGGAGGAAACACCAATGAAATCACCATATAACCCACCATGAAAAATCACCATTAACTCACCATTGAACCACCGTGTTCCTTCATAAAATCATCATGTTCCCGAGTAAAATCACCAATTTCCCCAATAAAATCACCCTTTTCCTTCATAAAATCATCATTTTCCCCAGTGGAATCACCATTTTCACCAGTAAAATCACCCTTTTCCTTCATAAAATCATCATTTTCCTTGGAAAATTCACCCTTTTCCCAAGTAAAATCACCATTTTCCGTAGAAAAATCATCATTTTCACCAGTGAATCGCACCTTTGTAGGCCAACGCAAAGGACTTGTTGGACACCACGCTGGCCGTGGCCGTGGCCGGCGCCACATTGGAGGACACCTTGGAGCCTTTGGAACGGCTGAGGATGGCCCTCCAGTGCTGTAGACCTGGCCGCAGAGGTTTCGGAGGTTTTGGGCCTCAAAACTGAGGATAAAACTGAGGATAAAACTTAGTAATATTCAGTTGGATATTATAAAGTGGGTTTCAATAAAACTGGGGATATTGGGCCTCCCAATGGCAACAGAACTGGGGATGTTTATTGATGTTTTCATGTTTTTTTAGCTGAAATCCCAGTGTTTTTTTTTCTCTCGAAATGAAGATTGAAGCAAAAATAGGGATTTCAGTTGGGTAAAAGAACCTACGGGAATAATGGGATGGATAATCAAGAACCATCATTTTACCATCATTTAACCATCATTTAACCATTCATGTCTGGTCATTTGAAGGATAAAACTTAGTAATATTCAGTTGGATATTATAAAGTGGGTTTCAATAAAACTGGGGATATTGGGCCTCCCAATGGCAACAGAACTGGGGATGTTTATTGATGTTTTCATGTTTTTTTAGCTGAAATCCCAGTGTTTTTTTTCTCTCAAAATGAAGATTGAAGCAAAAATAGGGAGTTCAGTTGGGTAAAAGAACCTACGGGAATGAATGGATAATCAACGGTCAAATATCCTTCGGTTTATAAGCAACTAAAAATAGGAAAATAATTTCAGAAAAAACTGTTCAACCTAATTGGATGTCACCAAGAAAAAGATGATTTTTACCAATAACAAGCGGGATTCAAGCAATCAACATGGTAGGATATATTTAGATAAATCACCGTTGAGAATAATGGACAAGTAGTAAATGGTAAACTAATCTAGGATTTTCAGTAATTTAATTTGGATGAATCACCAACCATTGGTAAAATAACCTTTGGCTTATAATGGTATAAATCATGGGTGTCAAACCCATCAGCTTATATCTATATAGAGGCACAAGGTGGTTGATCAGTGATGTTTCTTGGCTTATAAACCATCATGAGTACTAGTTCGATAGATGTAAGATATATCTGGGTAAACTATAATATTTCACTAGCCTGAATTAAGGCCATGTTGTGAGGATTCCCCTAACTAACCATGATTATAGTATCATAAACCCTAGTTGCTAGATTTACCATCTGGTTATTTAACATAACCATGGAAAATCATCATTTTTAATAGGTAAACCATCTATAGATGGGCCATCCCATGGCTATCTTAGTCATAACCAGAGGGTATCTTCACCAACTTCGAGTTGAACTTCTTCAAGCAGAATGAGATGAGGATGTCGGGATGTCGCCAAAAAATCTGGATTTCACCAAGGAAAAGAAAGGATTCTCACGCCATAAAAATGCTGGGTTCTTTCACCCAGGATCTGACCAACAATTTCTGAGGATCGCTGAAAACCAATCCGCTTCGGGGGTGGGATCACTAGGTAGACAAGTGCACCAGTGGGATGAAGTTCTTGCCGATGGATCAGAAAAGGGGAAGTTCACCAAGAAATGTGGATGATTAATATGTTTCTTTTGGAATCTTTAGATGGGCAATGAAACATATAATTCAAAAAAAAAACATATATCATCTACATCTTAGGGATTGATTAATGTTTTTTTTTTTGGAATCTTTTTGAAACAGAATGAAACAATGAAGTGGGTCTAGAAACAAGATGTTAAAAATTGATGAGGATACCTGAAATCTAATGGGATGTAACCAACTAGAGGTATATACGTATAACCAACGTTAAACAACTGCAAACAATGGAAAATAAAACAACCAAAACATAATTAAATCATACATCCAAGCTGGAACTGCCAAAAACTCACCGAAACGTTCAGTCATTTGGGGATGATTCCACTTAGCCATCATCGCAGTGAGGCAGCTGAAATGAGCAAGAATGGGGAGCATCGGTCGAAAGCGGTGAGGTTCCCCCAAATAGGGATGTTTCATGATGTTTACTTCACAACATAATCGATGTTAACATACCAACAAATGTGGATGATATAACAAAAATATATCAACAAACTTGGATGATATGAACATGTTGGACTAAATTATGGTAACCCAAAATCGATATCTAACATTATCTAGCCAACATAAGTGAAATATGGGAACAGGGAGGCAAATCAACTGGGAAGGCCAACCATAATTTACAACAAATTTGGTTGGTTCGCCTGGAAACCCTGAAAAGGAAACAGCTGAAATATGCGAAGAAGGCCGACATGAAAAAAATTCAAACTAATTGGGGAAATAAAAAATAATAGTTGAATAAATAAATACATGCATTTATATATTTACACATTTATGTATGTATATATATATATGGGCTGTGGCGGTGGAAAAACGTGTCCAAAACACCTGCGGGCGTTTGAAAAAAAATGCCATCTATAAAGGGCGGTAACTGGGCAAATCATCTGTATTCGGGCGGTTAATGTTGCAAGATTGGATATGGGATAAACCAATCACAGCGCTAATATTGGAATACGGGAAAAGGGAGAAACATGTCAGGCCACCAAAACCCCCATTTTTGACCAACGCCCATACCACCATCAATGCGTGGGAGTGGTTAAACCCACAAAATGCGGCCTTAGGGTTTATTTAAAAGGGAAGATGCCAACCTTGATGTCGTCCCTGAAACAAAACTTGTTTCCCATGCCTCCACTTGCCCCCTGCCCCGCAGATTTCGCCACGCCACGCTTTGCCAAGCAATAATTGGGCCCTTGCTCTTTGACCTCAGTCCAGCTCGGGCACTTAGAAGTAAGCAAAAAAAATATGGCTCTCGCTATTTTGCACTGCAGGGGCCATGTTGCGGCATCACCCATTCTGGGCGCGTCTAAGAATACCGCCTGCCCTGTGAATCGCGATTCCTAGCTGTAAAAATGACTAATGAATCGCTTCCCCTCATATTTACGCGCCTCCTAGAAACAATGGTTTAGTAAGGAAATTCCACACAATTAGGGCCATATAATGGGATGTTTAATATTAGGGGATGGGATTCACCCGTAGAGTTGGAGGCACAATTTTTTCAATCACTTTCAAACATGCCCATTTACATGTAATGTTGGTAAAACAATTGCAGGCCATCCCCTAGAACACCAATTTTGTAGGTGGTATAAACCATTCCCACATAGATGGTTTATAACATTCTTTTATCCACATGTAGACCCACTTATCTCCCGCCTGGTGCCCTAACCTCTCGTTAGGTCGCGGCTCCCACAGCGAACACATCACGGCCAGACACCGTCGGTGGAAACGTTGAAGCTCCACAGTTTTAGCGGCAAATACGTAACGTATAGCTGCAAAATCGGGAAAAAAAACACATGCAAAGTCGAAGGAACATATGACATAATGTCCGGGTGCTATGTTTGGAGGGGTTTTATTAATAGCACGTCAACATTACTGTTTTCCAAATATGTTTCGTAGCAACACTTTGGAGCACCTGGGATTTCATATGGCATTTAGGCCTCGATTTTGATGTTGCATGGTGTGCGAAATGTCACCCATACACCGGGTGTGCCTGGCCTGGGTTGTTGTTTGTTTCGTGCCTCTGGTTTGACTTTCTGGCGTTAAAATCGAGTGCATCTGATGTGATTTTTCTGGCGCTAAACTGTGGTACCTCTAATTTGATCTTCTGATGCAAATTCTCGCAAAATTTCAATCCTGGTGCCACATTTATGTGATTTTATGGTGCCGCATAAAGAGTGCCACATTTATGGCTCCAAAAGCGCCCTTGGAAAAGGCCTGGTTTGGGCATTTTTTTCTGCCTTAGTGCGCGCATGCCCCATAAAAAGCAAGAGTGTCAGACTTGGATGGTGTGTTTCTCAAATTTTCCCAGGTTTCCTGGAGATTTTCCCTCAAATTCTGGAACTCCCAGAGCGCGTCGTTTTTGGTGCCATGAGTGCCATAGCACCCAGCGATTATCATACCATCCCATGAAATAATATCGGGTATGCCGTGGCTCATTTTATCCCTCATAATCCGCAGCTCGTTTTTGGCTCCCTGGGGAAATCAGGGGATTTTTCCCTCATTTATAGTGGTTTAATGGGATTATAATGGGGATTTTTCCCTCATTTATAGTGGTTTAATGGGATTATAATGGGGATTTTTCCCTCATTTATAGTGGTTTAATGGGATTATAATGGGATTATAATAGGGTTTAATGGGATATACTATTCCAGAGCTATTCTGAATGGTTCCTGAAAGGCGTCAGTGGTAGTAAACGGATACTCATCCCAGGTCACAATGTACTTCTAGGCGAGACCCAGTTATAACTTGGTTTATAAAGCCATTGCTCATAGTTATACATCCCCTAATTATAGTCAACTATAGTTAACAACATCCCCTAACCTATTAGGTATACATCCCAAGGATAACGGTTATGGGTCAAGTTACCCTAGGTGTCCTAGGTGTCCTAGGTGCCCTTGGCTGGTCTAGCTGGTCTAGCTGGATGTTAGTCTCCCAGCTATGGTAATCATAGGTTTTGACCCATTCCCATGAGATGGTACCCTCTGGTAAACATACAAAAAAACTATGGAAAATCACCATGTTTAATGGGAAAAAAATAATCACTATAAATTTTATGATCAATTTTCCATAGCTATTTGTATGCTTACCAGAGGGTAAACCAAATGGCCCACCAAAAGTCACCATTTTGATGGGTGGTTTATGGCAGCCATCCCCAAATGGTAGGTTTATGGCAGCGTTGCCCACATGAATTTAGAACTTGCATCTTGAATCAACAAGCCAAAGGTCTAATTACCAGACCCGGCTCTTGCCAATGAGTGTTCATTTTCTGGTTCTCATTTTCATTGTTCTGTTTCATAGAAGAAACGTGTTGCAACTGATACAGGGCAGGGTCAGAATCTGAAGCTTTGCCACATTCATATCCCTGGGTAATCGTAGATTCCCGTTTGTGTATGCTTCCCTCATCTATAAATGGCTGAACTGTGGGTACTGACCGGCTATCTTCCTTAAGATGCCGAAGACGGCGCTTCCAAAATCTCCAGCTTTTGAGACCAGCACTCTGGTGGAAATTAATGAGTTACTGGTTGGTGGTATACCTACCCCTCTGAAAAATATGAGTTCGTCAGTTGGGATGATGAAATTCCCAACTTGTTTACGGAAAGTCATAAAATTCCATGGTTCCAAACCACCAACCAGGTTATTGTTTTACCAACGTTACCCTCTGGTAAACATACAAAAAACGATGGAAAATCACCATGCTATCAATGGGTAAATCCACTAATATATTAATTAATCACCATGTTTAATAGGTAAACCATCTATAAATGGGACATCTATACCATGGCTGTGTTAAATAACCAGAGGCTAATTGTTCTCATCATGAATCACCATGAATCTTCCAAGACTCCTGGTGGGTTCCATCCATTTTTCCAGAAAATGACGCAGAAAATGGGCCATTTCCAGCATGGACAAACTTCTGGGCTGTGAATTGCTGTGGGTCAAGAAGTGGAATGCTTCAACAGAAAAGTAAACATAGGAGGTTTCATGAAATGGAGGTACCCCCCAAATCATACATTTTTGTGTGGGATTTGGGGATTCCACATTTATGGAAACCCGCATTTGTAAAAAATGACAAAAGAAACTGCTTGTGCTTAGACCTTTGGCCCAGAGTGGACCTGCCAGTTGGGCCGAGAAAGATACAGGATGGGGCCCCCAAGATAGCTAAGGTGCCTTATAAATGGCTGAATTCTATGGTTTAAGGTAGATGTAATGAACTAGTACTCCTGGGGATTATAATGGTTTATAAACCAACTTATAACTGGGGGGCCCCATTGGCCCATCCTGTAGAAACCTGGGAATTCTATGGGAAACATCATGTAGATCAAGCCAGGTGACTGTTACAGTTCGCCATGGGAAATAGCCATGGCCCTAATCGAAATAGATGGTAAACACCGTTTACGGTTTACCGTTCGTAAAAATGCTGGATCTTTCCATGGCGAACTGCAACAGTCATAACCAGATGGTAATGATGAACAATCCCATGTGAAAAATTGCTAAGATCGAGCCCCAAGGGCTCCAAGTGGCTTGCTTGAATCCCAAAAACCATGGCTGAAACCCACTCTGCCGTTTTCAACATGTCAACCTTAGCGTATCAGTGGTCAGTTGGTTTGTTTTCACAAAAAAAAAACAAGGACTACTTATATTAGTTGAGAAATATTGTTAAACCAGCTTACTGTGCCTATCTTAACAGCTTCAAATGGACGGCGTTGAACGGACCAAATATGACAAGTTTGCACCGATAGTAGTTGAAAGTACCTACAGGATGGGACCCCAGTTCCTTCGCTGACTTGGTGAACATAACTATAATACCAATAGAATGGTGTATGATACGCACATATCATAATTAATTATGTTGTCATTATATTTAGATACTAATCATATTGGTATTATCATATTTAGATATAGTTGGTATACAAAAATCATATTCGGGATGATTTATTCCAAGAAACGCCTAAGCTTTGGGGGGCCCCATCCTGTAGCGGCCATCTAAAGCCGAACTGGTTTCTCGGTCACAGTTCACTGGGGGTGGAATCAGCACGGCTGAGACTCTCTGGTAAACAGCCACAGAACGAACTGGAAAGATCCACCATGCTATTCATGGGAAAATCCACAAACTAACTAACTAAATAGCCATGTGAACAATAGCTATGTAACAGTCATTACCAGAGGGTATTTTTTTTGGGAAATTTAAGGATTTTTAAGAGCAAAATCACCATTTTCCCCAGCAAAATCGCCATTCATCCAATCCCCACCAGGTGAGATCCAGAGAAACCACTCGGTGAACTCTGCAGAAAAACTTCTAGCTATCAACGGCCCACATACTAACATATCATATTTAAGTTGGTTATCCCACATGTATATATATATATATATGTAAATATATATGTATATAGCAATTATATTCCTATGATACCTATGATTTTCCATGAAGTTTGGTTGGTGGATCCCATATTCAAAGCACATTGAAATTGCCACCTTTTGATGTACTCCGATCGCTCCATGACCGTCGTCCAAGGTGCAATCGCATCCACCACCGGCAGAGACGAGGATTGGTCCTCCTCTCAACGCGACGCGGCATGACCGACGAACCCCGGAAGTCAGGTCAGGTTGCTTCTTTAAGGGGTAGAACTATGGTAAAACCCCAAAAATTGGGAAAGTTGGGATGAAAATAACAAAAACTGTAATTAGCCCTTTTGTTCACATCAAAATAGCTGGTATAGCTGGATGTTCATCATGTATGAATTGGTATTGATCCATAGCCATACCCCTAGAACTATCGTTATATATCCACAAAAAGTTCACTGGAACTGCACTTCGCAAGTTGATCAGGGATAGGGGAATTCACCATGAGAATTGGAGCTAAAAAACCACCCAAGATAGGATAGGGATTCAAAACGAGGAAAGTTTTCCGGAGAAGACCCCACCCATAAATTGCTTTGAATGGGGAATTACCCTCTACAAAAATTTAACACAGCTATGGAAAATAACCCGTCTATGTGTGTATTATATATAGTTATATTATCAAAGGAAGTTTAGGGGGAGAAACTTCCGTGTTACGGACTTTTAGAATGTCAGGGAAAGAGTTAGTCAAAGAAAGAGTTAGCAAAGAAAGAGTTCGTCAGGGAAAGAGTTAGTCAAAGAAAGAGTTAGTCAAAAAGAGTTAGTCAAAGAAAGAGTTAGTGAGGGAAAGAGTTAGTCAAAGAAAGAGTTAGCAAAGAAACAGTTAGTCAGGGAAAGAGTTTGTCAAAGAAAGAGTTAGTGAGGGAAAGAGTTAGTCAAAGAAAGAGTTAGTCAAAGAAACAGTTAGTCAGGGAAAGAGTTAGTCAAAGAAAGAGTTAGTGAGGGAAAGAGTTAGTCAAAGAAAGAGTTAGTGAGGGAAAGAGTTAGTCAAAGAAAGAGTTAGTGAGGGAAAGAGTTAGTCAAAGAAAGAGTTAGTGAGGGAAAGAGTTAGTCAAAGAAAGAGTTAGCAAAGAAACAGTTAGTCAGGGAAAGAGTTAGTCAAAGAAAGAGTTGGTCAGTCAAAGAAACAGTTAGTAGTCAAAGAAAGAGTTCGTCAGGGAAAGAGTTAGTCAAAGAAAGAGTTAGTCAAAGAAAGAGTTAGTCAGGGAAAGAGTTAGTCAAAGAAAGAGTTAGTGAGGGAAAGAGTTAGTCAAAGAAAGAGAGTAGTCAAAGAAAGAGTTAGTCAGGGAAAGAGTTAGTCAAAGAAAGAGTTAGTGAGGGAAAGAGTTAGTCAAAGAAAGAGTTAGTGAGGGAAAGAGTCAGTCAAAGAAAGAGTTAGTGAGGGAAAGAGTAGTCAAAGAAAGAGTTAGTCAGGATATATGAGGTAGTCAAAGAAAGAGTTAGCAAAGAAACAAGTTAGTCAAAGAAAGAGTTAGTGAGGAAAAGAGTTAGTCACAGAAAGAGTTAGCAAAGAAATTGTTCCCTCACTGTAAATGGGATTGCAAGTGGTGCTGGTGGATGAGTTGCCGATGGAGTTTTGAAGGAAGTCTCGCACGAAATGCGTTTTTGAGAGATAGCAGATGCACGAAACCCTGTGTTTTTCCATACAAAGTGCGTGGTCTCGTGTGTGGTCGGATCATGGGCGGATCGGTCTCGGACCATGGTCGGATCGGTTCCGCATTGTAAATGGGGTTTCAAGTGTTTTTCGTGCATGCACGGTCGACAGAATTCCATTGTGATTTGCAACTGTAGGATCGTTCCTGCAATGTAAATGGGATTGCAAGTGGTGCTGGTGGATGAGTTGCCGATGGAGTTTTGAAGGAAGTCTCGCACGAAATGCGTTTTTGAGAGATAGCAGATGCACGAAACCCTGTGTTTTTCCATACAAAGTGCGTCCCCGAACGTCGATGATCTACCTCTGCGGTGCGACGGGTGCGAGACGGTCTCGTGTGTGGTCGGATCATGGGCGGATCGGTCTCGGACCATGGTCGGATCGGTTCCGCATTGTAAATGGGGTTTCAAGTGTTTTTCGTGCATGCGCGGTCGACAGAATTCCATTGTGATTTGCGACTGTAGGATCGTTCCCGCAATGTAAATGGGATTGCAAGTGGTGCTGGTGGATGAGTTGCCGATGGAGTTTTGAAGGAAGTCTCGCGCGAAATGCGTTTTTGGCGCTAGTGATTTTCCTTCTAAAAATCATTTTCAAAAGTGCTTCAAAATCGTCTTTTTTTCGCTCTGGCGTCGAGATCCGGTTTTGGAGCTACAATTTCCGACGCCGTTGCGCGTAGTTCTATATTGTGTTTTGCAACTCAGTCTGCGCAGATCGCATTGTAATGGCTGCGTCAAGGTTGCTTCATGCTGTGGCTGCATGCGTAATACTATTGTCTTTTGCAGCTGGACTTCGTAAATCGTATTGGAGTGGCTGCATGAAGGCTGCGACAGTGATTTGGCAGCAGATTTTCTTCATTTTGGCGCTAGTGATTTTCCTTCTAAAAATCTTTTTAAAAAGTGCTTCAAAATCGTCTTTTTTTCGCTCTGGCGTCGAGATCCGGTTTTGGAGCTACAATTTCCGACGCCATTGCGCGTAGTTCTCTTGTGTTTTGCAACTCAGTCTCCGCAGATCGCATTGGAATGGCTGCGTCAAGGAGTTTTGAAGGAAGTCTCGCACGAAATGCGTTTTTGGCGCTAGTGATTTTCCTTCTAAAAATCCTTTTAAAAAGTGCTTCAAAATCGTCTTTTTTTCGCTGTGGCGTCGAGATCCGGTTTTGGAGCTACAATTTCCGACGCCGTTGCGCGTAGTTCTATTGTGTTTTGCAACTCAGTCTCCGCAGATCGCATTGTAATGGCTGTGTCAAGGTTGCTTCATGCTTTGGCTGCATGCGTAATACGATTGTCTTTTGCAGCTGGACTTCGTAAATCGTATTGGAGTGGCTGCATGAAGGCTGCGACAGTGATTTGTCAGCAGATTTTCTCCATTTTGGCGCTAGTGATTTTCCTTCTAAAAATCTTTTTAAAAAGTGCTTCAAAATCGTCTTTTTTTCGCCCTGGCGTCGAGATCCGGTTTTGGAGCTACAATTTCCGATGCCATTGCGCGTAGTTCTCTTGTGTTTTGCAACTCAGTCTCCGCAGATCGCATTGGAATGGCTGCGTCAAGGTTGCTTCTTGCTTTGGCTGCATGCGTAATGTCTTTTGCAGCTGGATCTCGTACATCGTCTTGGACTGGCTGCATGAAGGCTGCGAAGCAAATTTGTTAGCAGATTTTCTCCATTTTGGCACTAGTGTTTTTTTGTTGCACGTAGGTTTAGAGCAGTGTGAAGTGTGGGGCGTGAAGAGTGCAGTGTGAAGTGTGAAATGTGAAGGAAGCAGTGGGAAGTGAGAAGTGTGAAGTGTGGAGTGTGAAGTTTAAGTTTGGAGTGCGAAGCGCGCAGTGTGAAGTGTGAAGTGTGAAGTGTGAGGTTTGGAGTGTGAAGCAAGCAGTGGGAAGTGAGAAGTGTGAAGTGTGGACTGTGAAGTGCGAAGTGTGAAGTGTGAAGTGTGGAGTGTGAAGTTTCAAGTTTGGAGTTGAAAGAGTGCAGTGTGAAGTGTGAAGTGTGGAGTGTGAAGACTTTGCTTCGTCTCTCGCTGAAAAAATCAAACGGTTGTCGAGGGAAGGACACGGTCGGGACAGGGTGTCTTTGAACTATAGGTCATTTATGTTTGGGAAACTTCCGCCGCCGGCTTGCCCGGGTCTATGTTATATGATAAAAGATGATAAAAGGTGCTGAATTACCTGTTAAACATGGCGATTTTCCATGGCAAGCTGTTAAATAACCAGAGGTCAACAAGAATGAAGCTATGAACCCCACCATTTTCGGTGACTTCTTTGGAAGATATCGTGGGATCACCTCTCCCAAGATGAACTGTTGCTGTTTTTTTTGGTGGTTTAATGCTGACCATCTGCCTACCCGGCATCAAAGATGGCGATGGAACATAAATCGATGATTTTCCGCCATTTTGGATGGAAATTGCCCAGCTTGCCATGTCTGAAAAAAGAGGCCTATTGTGACCATAACTGGGGGGTCTCCTTGGTTGAAAAACTCCATGAAAGTCATGGGAATGTTGGAATCACGGATCTCCCAATGGTTGGGATATCATGATCTCACCCATTAAAAATATCCTGAAATCGTGGGATATAGATGGTTACTGTAAAAATGGCCCATAGAAATAGATGGTTTACCTGGGTCTACCGTTCTTAAAAATGGTGATTTTCCATGGCTATGTTAGTCATAACCAGATGGTAATTGAAGTTTTAAAAATCTTACTTGTGCTAAACGTAGGGAACTTTCGGGAATGATCCACAATAATAACTATCAATTTCATCCCAGCAACCCCATTCCCAACCCATCCAGCAACCCATCCAGCAACCCTACGTAAGTTTAGCACCAGTAAGTGTACTCTCTGGTTTCATGGCTGGAACATCCCCAAACTACTGGAGGTTTTGTTGGGATGATCCAAGTCTTAAACTGATAAAACCCAGCCAGCTTTGTGACTACACAGTATATCTATGGCCAGCAATTGATCAACAACAATTACTTACTGGTGCTAAACTTACGTAGGCTTGCTGGATGGGTTGGGAATGGGGTTGCTGGGATAATGACATGAAACTAGTGATGAAGTGGGATCATTCCCGAAAATTCCCCTCTAAGTACCAGTAAGATTACCCTCTGGTAAACTAACATAGCTATTGAAAATGGCCATTTATAGTGAGTTTTCCCATTAAAAATTGTGATTTTCCATTGCTATGTTAGTTCACCAGTAAGATTAAATGCCCATGATGTTTTCCGTGGTTCATCCCACCAAATCCGATGACTTGACTTTCCCAGCTCTGTTTGCCTCTATTTATATTCGTGATTCTCATATAAAACCTACCGTTTTCCTATGGTTTTTCCCAAATGTTCCCATATCTGGTTGGTGGTTGACCTACCCCCCTGAAAAATCATGGAGTTCGTCAATGTGGGATTATCCCATATATGAAATGGAAAATAAAAGCCATGTTTGAAACCAACAACCAGATAATATAGCTGGTTAATGAATGATTTCAGAGCATACTAGGTAACTTGACCCATCCCCATGTTTACTGAATGGTTTCAATGCCTATTTCTTTCCCATATGTTCCCATATTTCCTATGGTTGATTTAAACCCACATAACCATTAAATCACCATATCTTATAACAATTAAACCCACATTTCTTATGGTTGTCCTATTGGGTGTCCCATCTTTTCCGGGCATTCCCCAGAGACATTTCACCTTGATGCGATTGGGCGCCAGGCCCATCTTGGCAAACTTCATGACAGCTGATAGCATCGCTTGCCACGCGGGAGCTTTACCTATGGTGTGGCCAGGAATTCTGGCGACCGGTGGACATTTCGGGATTATGGATTGGATGGATTTTTGGGGATCGAAAAAATAGGGATATGATCTTTCATTTTTAGATATGTTTGTATAGTTTTGCTACCCTCTGGTAAACATACAAAAAGCTATTGAATAGCTGGCCCATTGATAGTTGATTTACCTATTAATAGCATGGTGGATCTTTCCCATAGTTTGTTGTATGTTTACCAGAGGGTATGTTTTTTTGGGAATGTTGATGAACGTTTTCACGTTTTTGTTCAATGGGATTTCTTAGGATTCACCCATGGGAAGATGGTGGTTTACCGTTGAATGACCCATGGTGCCATGGTAAAAAAATCCCTCACACTCAACGGACTCAACGGGGAATGTTCCAGCGAACCATGTTTGATTAGCGGTGTAAACAGCTTGGGCGCCAACACAGGTTGCTGGGAATAATTTTTGTACTACGGTGGATGGAAGAAATCCTGCACCAGTTGATAGGTGGTTTATCCCATTATTCATAGGGTTTCAACCATCCAAGGTGATGCAGGATTTCTTCCATCCACAGTATGTTACGCTTGAACTGTTTTGTATTTAAGTTGGGTCGTACTCAAATTGGGTTAGTTTGGGTTATACCTAAGTTGGGCGGTACTTTGTTGGAATTCGTTCCACCTTTCCACCCAGTACTGGCGGATACTGTCCTTAGGAATTCCATAGAAAAAGCATTGGAACAACTGTGTTTTCTGTTGGTGCCTCCAGCAAAGCCACAAAAGAAAAAAAAACGTGACTCATTGATCAAAGGATTGATTCTTTTTTGAGAAAACTTAAAAATTTAACGATGGCTCGGCTAAGGGAAATCGTCACCGGAAACCATGGTGCTGTTCCCATCCTTTTACTCGATTTTAGGCATCCCTGGTGTTCAAGTCGTCCGGCTTTTCGTTCATGGAGATACAATGGGGATACAATGGATCTCCATGATACAACCGAGATATGAATAGGATAAAGTGGTGATACCAATGGGGATATTCATGGGAATATTACTGGAGTAATACTATATGGGGTGATTATATAATATTATATATATCATGAATATTTTGGCATAGTACTAATGATCCCTTCATAATATAGTACTACTGGAGTCATGGTGATACTTGAGGCCGGGGGTGGATGACGAAAGCTAGCGGGGTAGGAGAAAGAAGGAAGGGAAGAGGTGAGTTGCGGAGGGACTGTCATCATCGTGTCGCGGCATGGTTCGTCCCAACGAGGATGCAACAATGATATATGATATATGATATATAACAATGATATATATGGGGGAGGGGGCAGGGGGGGCCCTTTCGCGTGAAAAATCACGTGATGTCCTTGGGGAGCCCCGGAATACTTGCTAAAGCAAGAAGACTCTAGCGAGCTGACGCTAGCTTTCGTGATAATGCCAATAATTGCCAATAATGATAAAATGTAATTGAATAACAATGATGACGACGACGATGACGATGACGATGACGATGACGATGATGATGATGATGATGAATGATGAATGATGAATGATGAATGATGAACGATAAACGATGAATGATGAATGATGATGATGATGATGATGACGATGACGATGACGATGACGAGGACGAGGACGAGGACGAGGACGATGATGATGATGATGATGATGATGATGATGATGATGATGACGATGACGACGAGGACGATGGCGAGGACGATGGCGAGGACGATGATGATGATGATGATGATGATGACGATGACGATGAAGAGGACGATGATGATGATGATGATGATGATGATGATGATGGTGGTGGTGATGGTGGTGGTGGTGGTGGTGGTGGTGGTGGTGGAATACTTGCTAAAGCAAGAAGACTCCAGCTAGCTGACGCTAGCTTTCGTGACTAATGGGATCTTAAAAAACCCTCCATAAGTGCTTCATTCTGGAAGTTCTATCCACGTCCGTGGCGTCTAACCTGATCTAAGTGCATCATGCACGTACCGGGGGTGCAATTGAGGTTACAAATGACAAAAAAAACATGGTTTTACACCCAAATAAGCTGGGATATAATCCCTATGACTATTTGAAATCTATTCACATAATTCCACTTATGACTGGAACTGGACTTTCAAGTAGCTTCTCTGTCTTAAGTTTGCTGTTCGTGTGGCTATGGCTCAAGAAAGTGTACCTGGTACCTGAAATTGCATTCTTCGGATCTTAAAATGACCTTGCCATGAACCGTCAACCTACCAGGAATTGGTGGAAAGACTTTAGAGTCCATCACCCAAACACATGTAATGATATGTCCATTCCAATTGGGTGAAACATCATGTTCCCTATTAGAAGTGGCTTAAATCCTAGGCTTCGTATATTAACCACAGCCACAATACCTGGGTCCCTGAGTCCCTGGGTTCTGCATCCAATAAAACAAGCCACGCAGGTTGTCCTGTGCCGCTTGCTTGGAACTTGCAGTGCACACATGCGCATCGGTGGGCGTGCAGAGGTATGCAATCACCGGCTTCTCCTGAAGGGCTGTGGTTTGCAGGGAACTATACCATAGCAAGGTGTTGGCCCACGAATGACTGATAAGTTGCTTTTCATAACTTACTGGTGCGTTTTACGCAGGGAATTTTCGAAAATGATCCCACTAAATCACTAGTTAGTTTCATAATCATCCCAGCAACCCCCAGCAACCCATCCAGCAACCCTACGTAAGTTTAGCACCAGTAAGTAAAGCTTGGGTCTATACCAACTGAGGTAAAAATTGGACACTGAATCCCTGGCGCAACTTTCTCGGATCCGGAGTTCGCATCGGATCCCTCTGCGATTTGAGCGGAGGCCATGGATGGTTTTTTTGGCCATGAAGATGGGAGATACATGGAGAATACATGGAGAATACCCTCTGGTAAACTTTCACATAACTATGGAAAATCACCATGTTGTGTGGGTAAATCAACTATTTCTATGGCAAGCTATTCAATAGCTATTTTGACATAACCAGAGGGTACAAAGCTGATGGCGAAGATGAAGAAACTGGCAATCCATGGTGAAAATCCATAGAAATACGTTCGAAATTTCAGACCATTGGAGGCGACCTAAGGCTGCTTGAAATCTTGGGGTCACACCATCGGCCCTTGATTCTGATGTGAAAAAAAAACAGGGCAGGAATTGGATGATCTGATATGATCTGGTTGGTGGCTAAAAATCACCATGCTATTAATAGGTAAATCAACGAACTAAATGGGCCAGCTATTCAATAGCTATGTAACAAATTACCAGAGGGTATCTGGTTGGTGGTTGAGCCTACCCCTCTGAAAAATATGACAGTCAGTTGGAGTTGCTATTCCCAACTGAATTGAAAAATAAAATTCATGTTCCAAACCACCAACCAGTGATTCAACGATATATTCAATGATTCGCTGAAAGTCTGGGAAGGTTGCCACGAGAAAATTCCCAAGAGGCAGATGTGTGATTTGATGGGCCAGAAATCATATGTTCCCCAACCTGAAATTACCCTCTGTCATCAGCTTCTTCCTAATGGTGACCACCTAACTCCACCTAACTCCACCCCCTCTGATGGAACAGACCCGGTTCCACGATGGAGGTCACAGGATTGGATGAGAAACATCGCAGGAAAGACCCAAAGAAAATGGGTGGTAAAATCAATAGGGTGGCATGACGCGGGTTTTTTTTCCGAATGCGTAGCAAGGGTTCCCGTTTCACTCTGGGGGTCTGGGGGTTGAGGGTGTGTTCGCTCGACGTTGCGTTTGTGGTCGCAACCGTTCGCAACCGTTCGCAACCGTTCGCAACCGTCCGCAACCGTCCGCAACCGTTCGCGCGAGGACCGTATGGCCGTGCCTATGGGAAGTTCTGCAGGAGGGGTCATTTTTGGAGGTTTCCAACGTTTCGTCGCTTCGTTTCGCGTGGCAGGCGTGGCACTTCGTGACATTCAGAGGTGTTTTGTAACGTGTCGAAAGTCGTTTTGTGTTGCAGGCGCAATACTTTTGCGACGTGTTCAGAAGATGTGTTGCAGTTTTCGTGGCAGGCGCAGCACTTTGGATGTGTCCATCGTGATTTTTCGTGGCAGGTGCAGCACTTTAGACGTGTCGTGTTGCGTGTTTTTTGTAAATCGCATTGGCAGGGCTGCGTCAAGTGGCGACAAAGTGCAAATTCCGTGGCAGGCGTGGCATTTTGTGCGATGTGCTGAAAATTGACGGAAGCCTCGCACGAAACATCGATTTTGAGGTCCGGTTCTAAGGAAAACTCGTAGGAAAACGTCGATTTTGAAGCTAGAAAGTGTGAAAATTGGAGGAAGTCTCGCACGAAATGCTCGTTTCGGTGCTCCCACCTGTCTCGTCTCGAGTCTCTGGTTTTCCTGTAGCCTCGCCGTGTCTATGGGGGAAGCTGCAAAACTTGTCCTTTTGTCATGTTGCCACCTGTGAAAATTGGAGGATGTCTCGTACGAAATGCTGGTTTTTCTGCATCCACGTTGTCTTGTCTCGAGTCGCTGGTTTTCCTGTGGCGTCGCCGTGTCTATGGGGGAAGCTAGAAAACCTCTCCTATTCGAATGTGTCCAAGCAGGTTGTCATGCCGTTTTGCGTGGCAGGCGTGGCACTTTGTGACATTCCAACCTGTTTGATAATGTGTCGAAAATGTCAAAATTGGAGGATGTCTCGTACGAAATGCTGGTTTTTCTGCATCCACGTGTCTTGTCTCGAGTCGCTGGTTTTCCTGTGGCGTCGCCGTGTCTATGGGGGAAGCTAGAAAACCTCTCCTATTCGAATGTGTCCAAGCAGGTTGTCATGTCGTTTTGCGTGGCAGGCGTGGCACTTTGTGACATTCCAACCTGTTTGACAATGTGTCGAAAATGTCAAAATTGGAGGATGTCTCGTACGAAATGCTTTCCTGTGGCGTCGCCGTGTCTATGGGGGAAGCTGGAAAACATCTCCTATTCGAATGTGTCCAAGCAGGTTGTCATGTCGTTTTGCGTGGCAGGCGTGGCACTTTGTGACATTCCAACCTGTTTGATAACGTGTTGAAAATGTCAAAACTGGAGGATGTCTCGTACGAAATGCTGGTTTTTCTGCATCCACGTGTCTTGTCTCGAGTCGCTGGTTTTCCTGTGGCGTCGCCGTGTCTATGGGGGAAGCTCCGCACTCCACACTCTACACTTTACTCTCCACACTCCACAATTTACACCTTAAACTCCACACTCTATCCAAAGATTCGATTCTTCTTTCGTGCAGCTGTGGGCTCCGTGCTGTCACTCAGAGAGAAGCCCAACCTTAATTTTGCCAGAAGCAAGCACAAGCAACAATCAGTCACATGTCAAGTCATGCCAAAGCAACCAACAATCAGTCACTTGTTCCTGCAACCGTTGAGACAAAGCTCTTGCGGGCACCCAGTTTGACTGCACAGGCCACGGCTTCTGCCATTGTCCCCATGTAGAGGCTGTCACTCAAGCTTCCATAGGCAACGATGGGCATGGTGGAGGGCGCTTCGGATCTGAACTTCTGGCAAAAATGAGCTGCAGCAGTATAACATGTCCAAAATCACGCATTTTGGAGGACCCCACCAAGTGCTACACTTTACACTCCACACTTTACACTTTGCACTTTACATTCCTCACTCCTCACCTGAGACTTTACACTCCACACTCCACACTTTACACTACACTCTACACTTTCCACTCCTCACTCCTCACTCTACACTTTACACTCCACACTTTACACTTTGCACTTTACACTCTACACTTTACACTCTACACTATACACTCTACACTCCACACTTTACACTTTACACTCCATGCTTTCCACTTTACACTCCACACTCCACACTTTACACTCCTCACTCCACACTCCACACTCTACACTTTACACTCCACACTCCACACTCCACACTTTACACTCCTCACTCCACACTTTACACTCCACACTTTACACTTTACACTTTACACTCCACACTCTACACTTTACACTCTACACTATACACTTTACACTCCACACTTTACACTCCACACTTCACACTCTACACTTTACACTCCACACTCTACACTCTACACTCCACACTTTACACTCCACACTCCACACTCTACACACCACACTCTACACTTTCCACTCCACGCTCCACTCTACACTCCACACTCTACACTTTACACTCCACACTTTACACTCCACACTTTACAATCTACACTTTACACTCCACACTCCACACTCCACACTTTGCACTTTACACTCCTCACTCCACACTCTACACTCCACACTCCACACTTTACACTCCTCACTCCACACTTTACACTCGTCACTTTACACTCTGCATTCTACACTTTACACACTCTACACTCCCGACTCCACACTTCACACTCCTTACTTCACACTGCACACTCCACACTCTACACTTGCCACTCCACACTGCAGAGTGGTAACAAGGGAAACATGTACAAGACTGTTCAAATAAACTATTGCAGAAAGGTATTGTGCGTGACTGCATATCCATGTGTTTTGACATCTGTGCCATTGACATACGTGTGAGCATTCGGGTTCGTGGGCTGCATCTTGTTTCTTAAATGATCATGGAGATCAAAATGGGACACATAGATTTTGCGTCACTTGATAATGTTCGCACGAAGACATGTCTCTTGGATTGAAATCTATACTCCCAAAAATCCATGTGGTTTCAATCATCATGTCAATGGTCATGACTCAGGAACCGATTGATAGGAGGTACCGATTCCATATATAAGGCCTATGGTTCAGGCCTATGTAAGGGAATATCCCCACAAAATATGGCCTTATATGGTACAGTAGCTCCATTTTAGGATCCTGAAATTACCATTGATCATGTTCCCTATTCTTTGATGGCCATCAATTGCCCATATCCCCCCCTATGTAACTTGTGATGGGCCAGTGAAACAAGGTGGATGGTTGCGAAATCCTGCACCAAAAGGATGGTTGAAACCCTATAAATATTATAAACAATGATAATGGGAGAAACCACCGTTTTCAACTGGTGATGAACGGATTTCGCTGGCCCATCCACAGGTAAAAGGGGTAAAATTCAGATCTCTTAACTCCGGAATGTCCTTCAGGTTCTCCACGAGGTCAGCAATAATGGCATCCATCGCCATGCTCACGCGAACAAACAGCGGGCCGTCGGCATAACCTCAGGGCTGTTTTCACTCACACCGTCAAAGAGCTGGAGAAGGAAAAAAAAGCTCCACGGCTGGCCGGGAAATCTCAGCAATTGGAGGTTTCTAGCTGGAAAAATCATGCAAGAATATCTAATAAAACGTCTGTTTTAATGGGAAAATCATCTACTGTATGGAGGTGTCCAGATGGGAAAATCCATCGCTGTCAGTATTTCTGGGCGATCTCCTGCGCGGGAGCTGATAACGACCCCAAAGCAGAGGCCCCAAAAAGCTAACTGTTGGAGATCTCTCGAACGAGTCAGGTGGGGCTCTAGAGCAAGGGCGGCGCCGTATTCACCAAAGATTTCCACTTCAACCCCCCATGCATTAGCGCTGCTTCCAGGTGACAATAGGCTCCCAGCACAACGCGGCCGGTGCCACAAACGCCACGCAGCCAGTTGCGCACCTCAGGTATACCATCCAATAGGGTTGCCCCAGCCTATTGGTGAACCATAACCACTGGGAGGGGATTTGGTCATGTCATTCATTTCATTTCCCCAGTTTCCCCACTGTAATTATCGGGAGAAGCAATACAAATAGTTAAAAAAATGATGGGTTTTCCATAGAATTCCGATGTTTCACAGATTGAAATTCCTCATGTTCGCCCAAAATTCCCGCCTCCGGGGTCTGTCGCAGTAGGTCGCAGCCTGCGAGGGCTGCCAGCTGTGCATCACTGGCATCGGACGGCGCCTGCAGCGAGCACGGCCAGCTTTTTTGGGAGGATTTCATTCGATGAACCAACCAACATATGGAATATTATGGGAATCAACCAGCAACCCAACCAGATTTTTTTACCCTAGTCAAGGGTTTAAGACTTGGGATTTAATGGTGATTTAACCAAGAAGTGGGGATTTCATGGAAATATCCTGTGGGATGTACTGGGAAACACAGCAGGGAAGGATTTCAGGATCGGATTAACCAACCAAGATTCATCGAAAAATATTGAATATCATTGCCTGGTTGGTGGTTCACCTACCCCTCTGAAAAATATTAGTCAAATGGATTTTTTTCCCAATATATGGAAAAATAAAAAATGTTCCAAACCACCAACCAGTTGCTATATCTGGGATATATCATCAACTTAATATATTATGACTGAGGCCGGTGAGGCCTTCAAATGATAGCTAAGTTGACGCTTAGCTAACTCCGCTAACTATGGCACTATGGTTCACGGGGACTTTTTTAAGCCATAATTCATGGTTTTATAAATTATATTAATTATATAAACTAACAAACATCATGAAGGGGGGCAAAAAATGCTGCCATGGATATGGCCCAAAAAAACTCCGGCATCCTGTGGGATGACCCAACAGGAAAAATATCCACACTCAGAGCATGGAGAGAGGCCGTCGTGGATTGTTTTCCGTGGCTACCCAGGAAATCAAAATCTTTCCTAGCTGGGAAATCACCCATGAAAAATTTCCGAAGCTTTCGGTGATGGTTTCGACCTGGGAACATCATTAATAGATATTCCATTCATATACCATTTATATCCCTCTGGTAATGATGTAATGATTAATTGTTCCATTTACCCTCTGGTAATTTAACGTAGCTATGGAAAATGGCCCATTTATAGTGAGTTTTCCCATTAAAACTGGTGATTTTCCATAGTTTTTTGTATGTTTACCAGAGGGTATTAGTTATTAGTGTTAAATATTTACCCATGGAACTATGGTTATATCACCCATTCCATTAAACATACAAAAAACTATGGAATGGGTGATTCCTTCAGCCAGAAAAAGATGACACTATGGAATGGGTGACCGATAAAAACCTGGAACCCGGAAATCGATAAAATTTCCCATGACTTGGTGTGGACCCAAAAAACTCTGGTTTCAACATGTTTTTTAACTAGGAGAGATGTGGATTCAACAATGGAAAATGGTGGTTTTAACAAAACAAAATGGTTTTTGAACATGTTTTTGTCATGTGAAAACCACCGTTTTCATCCATGTTGAACATGGTTTTCATATGTGTTCATCCAGTTTGAACATATTTTTCTCAACGCGGCCTTCAGCCAAGAAAGAATAAACCAGTTTTTTCCAGCATGGCTATGGTTGGGCGACCTCACCCTCTATGGTTAGTTTAGTTCGTCGATTTGCCCACAGGACGGGTATGGCCCGGGCCATACCCATTGGTTCCATCATCCCAGTGCCAGGGGATTTCCTTGTCATAACAACAGTGACGTCCTACGCATACTTCTATTAGGGGTTTCATTTAGGGTTCACGTAAGTTATAAAATCCGGACTCGCCAAAAAAGTGAAAAAGATTGAAAAAGTGGAAATGGCCGAAATGCGTGAAGTCCGCAGAGGGTTCACTTTTCTGACTGATTTTTCCAAAAAATTGTCTTATATTAGACCGCGCTAACCCACAGATTCACCAGAGTCATAAAACACTGCGCCTGCGCAGAGAAATGAGCCTCCCACTGACGTTCATACGACCATTCCGGGACAACCCTCAGTCCTGCCCGTTAGTGTACCAGAGGGTATGATTTCTTGTTTTTTTTTGGGACATACACCCATAGATATACAGTAGTTATATATAGCTATAGTTTATAATTTCCACCATATCCCCATATAGATCTAGTATGAATATAATATATATATACTATTTCCATATATTGGTTCTGTTCATCCCTTTAAAATTCTATTATAGTTTCCATTAGATCTCCATATAGATCTAGGAATTTAGTTGTATCCCAAGTATATTCCATTATATATAATACCTTAGTTATATCCCATAATTAGATATAGATATAGATCCATTATATTCCCATATAGATCTAATATTAATACTATATTCCATTATTTCCAAATATAGATATAGATCTAATATAGATCCAAGTGTATTCCATGATATTCCCATTATTTCCATAATATAATTGGATTAATGGAAATAAATGGAATATCATATTCCCAGAAATAATGGGAATAATAATAATAATAATTCCCCATTATATTCCATTATTTTTTCCATTATTTCCATTATTTCCATTAATACCATTATTTCCCTAGAAAATCCCCATATAGATCTAGTATGAATATAATATACTATTTCCATATATTGGTTTGGTTCATCCCTTTAAAATTCTATTATAGTTTCCATTAGATCCCCATATAGATCCCTAGAAAATCCCCCACCCCCCGCGTTGAAACCACTGTTGAACCCACGTCGCCTTCTCCGTTAACGGCAGCGTCAGCTTCCCCGGCGACGCGCGCGCGGTGGCGATGAGACGCTGCCAGATCTGTGGTCGTGGCAGGTCGATGGCCACCACGTGAGCACCCAGGGCCTTGACGTCGGTGGATGACAAAAATCCATCATGACTATTGAGTAAAAAAACATGTGGAAATAAATCACTAATGGAAAAAAATATGGAATATATGGGAAATATGAAATATATAGGAAATATGGAATATATGGGAAATATGGAACATATACTCTATGGGAAATAACTAATGGAAAAAAACATATGGAAAAAATATGGAATATAATATATATATATATATGGAATATGTATTTCTCGATCAGTGGAACATGACAAAAATAGCATGTTTTTCACTGACTATGGAAGATTACCATGAAAAATACCATGAAAAAATAGTTGTTCACTAATGACTCTTGAATATACTTAAGGAAGATTATAACAAATAATGTGTAACTAATGACTCTTGAATATACTTAAGGAATATTATAACCAATCATATCTAAAATCTAATAATATCTAATATCTAACAATATCTAATAATATCTAATATCTAATAATATCTGATAATATCTAATAATATCTAATAATATCTAATAATATCTAATAATATCTAATAATATCATATAATATCATATAATATCATATAATATCTAATAAAATAATAGCCATGATAGATGAATGAAAGATCGGTGAAGGTGTAAAAAATAAAAATAACAGAAATACCATGTACACTAATGAGATAATATAGCAAGAATGGACATTCCATGGACTTGATGGTTAAATGAGTATAACAATGTATAACTAATAACTAATGAATATAAATGATAGATTATAACTAATCATAGATTTTCTGTTGTTTAGTCATACCATCTAATAGAGATGGTACAACTAATTACACAAAGTCCTCAGACATGTGCAAACGTGGCACGATCAAGTCTAAAGGGACTTGAGTAACGATGCATCGTGGCACGATCAGATTTCATGCCCTCACAATCCGGACTTGCGACTCCCTATAGACAAGTTGCAACGGAAAAAGCCTACCTCCAATTTTAAACGGGTGTGTCATAGTTTGTCTGAAGAATTAGGGGAAAACCATGGAAAAAAAAAACATTCCACTGGTCAATCATCATTGCCCCCGTGTCCAAATGGTCATTTGGGGTGTGGACACCATTTCAGACAAGCTGCCATCAGGATGGGAAAAGGTCCCATTGCAGAGCCTGGCGAAAGGGGGGAGAGTTCAGCGGATCTCAAAAACCCATGGTTTAAAGGGAAAAACGTCAGAAACCATGGTTTTTTCCCATGAAATGTTGGCAATTCCTGTAAATGTGTCGCTTAAACCAAGCCATTGATGAAAAAAATGAGTTGTAGCGTGATCTATGATTCTAACATGATTCGATTCATCCGTAGTCCATAATGATGGCTAAAAGTTGTCATAGATTTCCACCAGGGTTTTCCAATCCAGCCGTACGCGAAGGTGAATATTCAAATATGACCTATCAATTGTACGCTGCTAGAATCAAACCTAAAATCATGGAAAAATCTGCCAGTTCGATGATTTTCCCAGCCATAAATATCCACAGGGGATTTTCCAGGTAACCAAAAATGGTTCACCTCTGGTAAACATACAAAAAACTATGGAAAATCACCATCTTTCATCCGAAAATCCACTATTTCTATGGGCATTTTCCATAGTTATGTAACAAATTACCAGAGGGTAATACCATTTTTACATTCCATCGACATCACACCTTTCCGACCTCAAAGTCAGTTTCAACAACGACTTAGCCTAGGAATTACCACGATTCCTACTTGGATGGGCATCTCACTTGGAAACCCGATGACAACTCATATATCTTGATATACGTGTAAATATGTTTATATATATATATATATGTATATTTATTTATTTATGTATTTATTTATCTAGATCTATATATATATATTTATATTTAGATACATATATATATGATTATTTATATATATATATATATCACTCAGTAATCGACATCCGAACCTTGCAAACCCAAACATAGATACCTTGACCCCATTTGGGTATGGGTCAAGTCTATAGACAGCCCTAAAAATGGCATGGTTCATACTAAAAACACACTAAAATACATTAAGAATGGAGGGATTTACCCTCTGGTTATGTGTTACATAGCCATGGTTAAGCCATGGCCCATAGAAATCGATGGTTTACCTATGAATAGCATGGTGGATCTTTCCATGGCGAACTGTTAGTCATAAGCAGATGGTATAATGATTTATAGATCAGAACACTAAAATCTCTGGTTGTCGAAGTCGTTTTTTTTCTTTGACCACCATTTCTTGGCGGTGCCAAAGGGTTGGAGTTTTTAAAAGTCACCAGCTGAGCCACATGTTTAGCATGCTGCCCATTAGACACAGTCATAATGAGTCATATGGTTTTCACATGTTAATATACATTTTCTTGAAATATAAGAAACTAATATGTTAAACATATCATATGTTAAGTATCACATCATATAACCATATAACCATTATACATTACACATCATGTTTTGACAGCGAGTTTTTCAATATAAGTTGGCTTGAAATCCATGTGAAACCACAAAACAAAATAGTTTAAGCTCGCCACCAATCAAGCCCAGACCTCCCCAACAAAAATCTGTGGATTCAAGTGGTAAGTTATAAGATGGTTGTTACCCTTCTGTCATTCCCCACAATCCCTTGCTGACCTTTTTTCCCCGAAACACGGTTGCTCCCAACACGCAGTAATACTGCTGGGAACGCAAAACTGGCCAGAGAGGTACCCTCTGGTAATTTAACATAGCTATTGAAAATGGCCATTTGTAGTGGATTTTCCCATTAAAAATGGTGATTGTCCATAGTTATGTTAGTTTACCAGAGGGTAAATGGGATGATTATAGGATATATTTGGGATATATTAGGGATTATTTTCAGGTTTTAATGATCTCAATGGGAAACCCCTAAATCCCATTTACAATGAAAAACATCTATAAACTCATTTCGCAACTTGATGGTGCACATAACTAGATTCTATAGCTAAGTTGGGGGCCACATAGCTCCACATAATGTTCATCGACTTTTCCCAGCCCAAAATGAACACCACCTGCGCCAAAGAGGACGAAGGTATGATCCGACAGATCCATCCACTCTGGCGTCTCGGCAACCTTGCACAACGCTGCGGCCGTATCCAGCTCCTAAGGTTTCAACGGAGTTCAGCGAAAATGGAAGGTCGACATGGGGGAGGTATAATTATCCTGATTGAGGTGATATATGGAGGTTTCCAGTTTCCATGAATGGGGTCCCCCAAAATGGTTGGTTTATCATGGAAAATCCATCTATAAATGGATGATTTGGGGGTACCGTTATTTCAGGAAACCATCATATTGTTGGTAGTTTGGGGGTGTTGCTTCAGGATCGAACACAGGCAAAAATGTGGATCCTGATCTAAGCAAAGAGCCTGGGATATCACCAACAGAGCTAGGAATTGATGCAAATTTATGCAAGAAAAACGAAGATTTACATAAGCAACGCCACTAAGAATTTATCCATTAACAAGTGAGATTCAAGCAATCAACATGGTAGGATATACCCTCTGGTTATTTGTTACATAGCCATGGTTAAGCCATGGCCCATAGAAATAGATGATTTTCCCAGCTAGACACCTCCATTTATAAGGGATTGTCCATGGCTATGTTAAATAACCAGAGGGTAATTTCTTCAATCACCAATGATTTTTGGGGTTGAAAATAATGCAGTCAACCCAATGATAAACCATGATTCTTACCATCCCCAGTATCACTATGTTCATAGCTGGTAAGAATCATCTCCAAATGGGTAGTTGATTAGTGTTTTAACCACATAATATCATTTATGTATATGATAAATTATTAACTATGGTTATATGATGATGTTTCATGATTGGGTTTACCACATGATCAATTGCCACTTCAGGGACCTACATTAGAGCTACCTACCATATATAAGGCCTATAATAAGGGTTATGTAGGGGAATATCTCCACAAAATATGGCCAAAAATATGGTACAGAACCTTCATTTTAGGATCTGAATTTCCCATAGACATGAGTTGATTTGTGTTTGGTTTGTGTTGATTTATTTCACTCGGCCAAGTTTCGGCTTTAAGGCAGATATATCTCTGGGCTTTTAAACCTACCTTTGGACAGGAGGCCGTTCTCGGAAACATGTAGGAACAATTCTTCACTTAAACAGAAGGAAAATCACAATGGCTATGAAAAACATCTATAAACTCATATATGTTGTGTATATACAATGTGGTACCCCCCAGTTATAAGTTAGTTTATAACTCCCATCAACTATAGATATATCTACCATAAGTCCTACTTATTGTAGTTATAAATCAACTTAGCTATCTATGGGGCACCACTATGTATGTGTATATATACACATCCATCCATGATTTTTGCGTGGTTTTCAATACGTAACCTGAGGAACTCCGCGGAGCGCAAACATACCCCGGTTGATCATCTCCTAGGGGAAATCCTGGGATTTCAAACCGGCTTCCAATTTTCACCGGTAATTATGGAACATAACTATGGGACAATCATGGGATTATGAAGCAAATATGGAACTTTCTATGGCCATTTTCAATAGCTACGTTAAATTACCAGAGGGTAAACATTGGCCGATCTGTGAAAACATCATCAAACATCCCTGAAAAAAATACGACGACGCGCCAGTCATGTTCCTAATCTGCTTAACAAAACAAGCCCCCCGACATGCTGGCGCAATGTACCCTCCGGTAAATAGTAAACTAAAATAGCTATCGAAAATCATCATTCACAGGTAAAGCAACGAACTAAATGTGCCATGTTCAATAGCAAACTATAAGAAATTACCAGAGGCTAGATCCGATATTACCAGAGGGTAGATCCCAGGAAAATATCCCCATGTTTGTTGTTTCAATCCCTATTAAATCACCATTAAATCACCATTAAATCACCATAGATATAGATATAGATATAGATACAGATATAGATATATATATATAGTTATATATACTTCAATAGTGTTAGTTTTCCATTACCGGAGGCTAATTGGGAAATCCCAACAGATCCAAGCGTCAATGACCCCACGCTGCAACCAGCTGTGGATCTGTAGATTCAGTTCGTCTCCAGAAAGCGTGCGTCCTTTATAGGGCACCTGCAATGGATGGTGCCAAAGAAATAAAGGAGGTCACTTAGGGATTGAACTAGGGCTAGTAACTAGGGAGTTCATGTAGAATGGGATTTAGGATGATGAAATGGATGTTTTCATAGGATTTTTCGGAGGATGAAAATTGGATCTTAATGGGATTTAGGATGATTTTAGGGCTACTAACTAGGGACTTCACTTGGGGATTTAGGATGATTTGGATGATTTTTTGAAGTTTAATTTCAGCCCATGAAAACTAGTTCGTTATACCTACCATAAACCATGGAATTCAGCCACAGAAATATCTCAACTGAACGCGAGCTCGACTGGGGGCCCCATCCTGTAGGTGAAGTTACAAATGGGCATAAGTTGAGGAATTTAACCAATTTAACCCGCATAAGTTGAGATGTCAACACATTAGTAAACCCCAGAAAACTATATGGTTAAGTATCCACTTACAACTGGAACCCTATAACTTGCAAGAAGTGCTACCTGCCTCACTGCCAGAGATGTGGATTTTTTTCTGTTCATGTTCATCCCGTGAAATCCGGGTATTGATCCCACTTGGGGGTGATTTTGAGATAGTGATTTTTATACTGGGAAATACTGGGAAATACTGGGAAATACTGGGATTATGTATGGGAATCATATGGGATTACTGGGATTATATGGGATTATATGGGATTATGTTCAATGGGTATTGCACTATTTCTATGGCCATGTTCAATAGCAAACTGTTAGTTTACCGGAGGGTAGTGAGTGAGTCCACATCCTTTTGATGCTTCATCAAAATTATCCTACTGAACCACCATGGTCCATGGTTTGGGGGTTAACATACTGGTTGGTGGTTGACCTACCCCTCTGAAAAATGATGGAGTTCGTCAGTTGGGATGATTTTTCCATTCCCAACTTTTTATCGAAAGTCTAATCAAATTCCGTGGTTCCAAACCACCAGCCAGTCATTGCATTTGAACCCCTATGTTGGGCATGGGGCCCCTAAGTATGGTGAAATCTATCCACAAAAAGTTATAAAAAGTTCACTGGAAGTGCACTTCCAGGTAGATCCCCATGAAATCCCATTCAACATCTTAAACCCAAAATCATATTATGACCTCTGTTGCAAACCCAGATCCAATCCCCGCAAATCCGAAATCGCAATTTTTCGTGGGTAAAATCCCTATTTGGTGGCCTCAAAGGTCCGGTTCAACGTTCCCTGGCCCTTGATCTCGACGCTTTCGAAGGATCCCTGCCGTAGGCCACCATCGGTTCCGCAAAAATGGGTTTTTTGACAAGGCAGAAATGTAGATATGTAGAATTTATGATAGGTTTCTGCGGTTCTGATAGGTTTATTATAGGTTTCTGTTGGTATCTTATTTAGAATTTATGATAGGTTTCTGTTGGTTGATAAATAATCCAACTATAATTTATGGGATGCATGAAATTTGCATAGGTATATGGCTTATAAACCAAAATTACACGCAAGAATGGGGCGTAAGAACAGTCATAATGGAGATATAATGGGATACTGTATAACCAGCAACTAAAGCTACTACCCTGACTTTCCAATAAACACATCATACGAACTGGAACCACGCCCCTAAGTACGCGGCCATAGGGCCCTGTTGGTTGGTTCGTGCAAGTTGGGCATATCCCGACTTATACGGGTTATAACTATTTATAACTATGGTATACCATGGTTATATCCGCTACCTGGAATTGTACACTGTACCCCAAGTTTCGTGAAAAAAACATCGCGATAAGATGATTTCGGGGAAACGGCCAACACATGAAACTCACATACTCACAGATCATGGCGATTTGGTCGGTTTCTGAGGGATCTATATGTGCGACGGTCGAAACATGCTACGGATTCGATGGTCAGTTTTTTGGGGGCATTGCTCCTCAAGGCACCCTCACACAGTGCTCACTTTTGCTAAAATATGTTCAGGCAGCTCTCTATCAATGAGATTCACTATCTAGCGATTAGTTTTATAACTATCTGTATCTGTAAGCCTGGCAAGATGCAGGACGATTCCTCAGATCGAGCAACCGTTCTCAAACCTGCTTAGAACGGAAATTGTTCTCCCAGATTTCGCCACTGAGAGGGAAGGTGGAGCTAAATGATGATGACGATGAGGCCCGCTGCTGGGTTTGAAGGACGCATTTGCAAGCACCAAACAGCAGCCCCTGCCTTTTCTGCAACGTTTTTCTGCAACATATTCTGTTCATGATATGAATTTGCAATGTTCATTGGGAGAACTTTGCCGCATATTGGGATACACATATTTGAATAAACCAACAAGAATCAGATGTTTGCAGGGAACGACCCTGAGTTTTTCATGAGACCCCCGGTGAAATCTGTTTTTCCCCCCACCGGGTGGGTGTCCCTGGATCTCAACAACTGGTTGGTGGTTGACCTATCCCTCTGAAAAATATGAGTCAATGGGGTTGGGATTATCCCATATATGAAATGGAAAATAAAAAAAATGTTTGAAACCACCAACCAGTCTTCTTCTTTTCCTTCTTCTTCTCCTCCTTCATCCTCTCCTCTTCCTCTTGCGCTCTCTCCCGCTCCTTCTTGTCTTCACCTCCGCCTGATGTCAGCCTTGTCTTTCCGAGCCATATGGCTTCTGGATGTAGCTGGGGACGTCTGGACTGGAGGTAGCTGGGCTCGTGGCCCCGAACACACCGGAGAAAATGCCAGACAGAATGCCAGGTAGAATGCCAGCGAGAATGTCAGAATAGATGCCAGATACAATGCCGGAAAGAATGCCAGATAGAATGTCAGAGAAAAAACCAGAAAGAATGTCAGAATATATAAAGATGCCATATATATGTATATATATATATAGATATATTTCCAGGCGGTATGTCAGAAACTATGTCAACATATTTGGCATATACTCTGACATTGCCAGAAACTATGTCAAATATATGCCACTATCTATAATATCTCAGAAATGTCAGAAACTATGTCAGAATAGTGTGTCAAGGTGGCCGACCACTCGAAGAACCTTTTTCCACTGGTTGATAGAGGTTCCCTTATCAGAGTAACAGAATCCCCAATTCAACCACGTAGTTTACTGCAATCCCATGTATATACATATATATATATACACGTACATATATATATATATATGTATGTATATACATATATGTACATATATTGTGTATATATAAATATACCACTACATTACTGCATATAAGAATCAACTAACAGGCTTTGGGATCGGGGGCATTGCTCGGTCTTAGCATTCCTCTCCTGGTTCGGTTGAGCATTAAAAACATGCATCAGTTTGTGTCTCCATCAAAGATCTGCGAGATCTACCCTCTGGTAAACAAACATAGCTATTGAAAGTGGCCATTTATAGTTGATTTACCCAGTAAAAATGGTGATTTTCCATAGTTTTTGGTATGTTTACCAGAGGGTACCCCACGGTAAACAAAGCTGCATTTTAGGCGTGAAAATGTCTTTTGCTGTACACAAATGACTGCCAAAGTAAAGGTACCAAAACCAGAGTGTACCACTTCCCGGGTCCAGTTCTTCTCCGAGCAAACTTTGTTTGATGATGATTCTTCCAGTTTCCAATTCCTGGATGCAAATCCAGTCGTAGATTTATGTAGTCAGTTAAAGTCTCAACAAAGGTCCCCTCATTGAAATTCCATGTTTGCAACCTGTTTTTCCCATTCTTTCATGTTCACGTCCCAAATTTTCATCATACTTCTGGATCTTTCAATGCCAACAAGTGGCCAAAGAAACCTCCTTGAATGTTCCCCCGCAACAACTCGTCTCCGCCTGAAATTTCCCCATGGCATCTTTCAGGGCCATGGTCTCCCCGCCACGGCAGAACTGCATGTTGCTATGGAGGTACTCCAAACCATCCCTTGCGATACCTGAGACGGTCGAGAATCGAGTACATTTCTGGTTGGTGGTTGACCTACCCCTCTGAAAAATATGAGTCAATTGGGTTGGGATTATCCCATATATGAAATGGAAAATAAAAGCAATGTTTGAAACCACCAACCAGATTTTATTTGGATCAGTTTTTTGGGGCTCGTTTTGATGATCTAGTTTTTATGATTCTAATGATTAAAAAAAAAACACATTGTTTGGTTTTAGGTCATAAAACTGTATGACCTAAAATGACCTAGTTGTTCAGCATCCCGTTTAATTCTACTAGTTTGCCAAATATATTTACCCATCACATTCCCCATTACAATATTTCCCCAATGGTTTCCCCATATCAAATACATAAACTACCGATGAACTCAACTGACACTAAAGTCCAAGTAGACATATCCAGTTACAATCACCATTGATAGTTTTTAACACGTATCAACCACTAATTCCCATGGCTAATACCAACTATAAATCCGGGAAAACTGTCGTATTTCCCAAATCAGATTAGTCCGGCCATTTAGGGATGAATTTCCCAATCCTTGCCATCATCTATGGCGTCAAATGGGGTAGCTACACTTCACTTAAACAGTCTTAACCATTATCAGTATTCACCAAATTATTAACCATTACCAAACACCTTCTTTTGCCAGTCAGTTAATGATTTAACACTATAATATTAACCATGATAAACCATTCTAAATTATTAACCACTAATAACCACTAAAAATTGCTAAAATCATGGTATTCATCTGATGGTAGAGATTTAACATCAATAATAACCACTAATCATGGGTAAATATTTAACACTAATAACTAATAACCATTGCTATTACCATGATTTACCTATGGGTTCGAGGTGCCCAGGGCCGTCTCTTCCTTCGCAGAGGCCAGTTGGGTCTGCTTCACCACGTGCTTGACGTAGCCGAAGCGCCACTTCTTCTCCGCCACCGCGGCCTGTGCCATAGAAAAATGGGGCAGTTTCATGGGGAGTTGGTGAAGGACAAAAACTGCCCCATTTTTCCATGGCGTGAAACAGTATGAATTAAATTTTTGGTATGAATTTACACATGTCCATACTGAAACAGTGTATTTTGCAATTTTTCATGAGAAGTATGGATTTAAGCAGTGTAAATGGACATTTTTGGTGCCGTGAAGTATCGATTTCACATGATTTCACTGGACAAAATCGGGATTTCATGGTGGCACAGTGGCACATCTCACCATCCGAACAGCACCGAAAGTCCAGTCCGAACAGCGAATCCCGGGAGGGGTGAATCATGGAGGATCCCATGGGTGAACTAACCCCACTACCCTCTGGTAAACTTTCACATAACTATGGAAAGATCCACCATTTTTAATGGGAAAATCCACTATTTCTATGGCCATTTTCAATAGCTATGTTGACATAACCAGATGGTAACCCCACTAACCTGACAGGTGGGATATCCATGGCATCCAGCCTCCGAAGATTCCCAATGGCATCTCAATGGTAAATCCATGGCATTCCATCATGCTTGGTGGTTGAGCCTAGCCATACTTCCCCAGTTAATATAGGATTATATGGGATATAGGATTATATGGGATATTATATATATATAACTATATATATGTAGGATAATAGATATCTGGTTGGTGGTTGAGCCCTACCCCTCTGAAAAATATGAAAAAACTTCGTCACTTGGGATGATGAATTTCCCAACTGAATGGAAAGTCATAAAATTAATGTTCTAAACCACCAATCAGCAAATCCGCATTCCCTGTTCAAATCCCTACTTCATAGGTAAATCCCCCATGATATCGCCATGAAAAATCATTATTCAATCTCATTACTATCCTTAAATGGCGGTCAAAACTGACCCAGGGAACCATCTTAACCATCTTGTACCCGACTCAACCCACATCCAAATCTATAGGCAATCTATCTCAGCAGCACCAATGGACGTCCATTGGTCCATTGCCATGTCAAAAAATACCGGAGGGTGCAGTCGGGAGCTGAAATGTCGTGCTTCGTACCACAAACAAAAAAAATATGCAAAAACATGGAAACATGGTGAAGACTAATAAGAAAATGATGGACATTTATCATACATGATGATTCTAAAAAATGATGATGCATGATGAAAAATGATGAAACATGATCGAGATCTAATCATTGGTTAAATAACTATGGTCTTATCTTCCGTGGTTAAATCTACATCAAACTGCTGGTTTTTATACTTGGAAGATCTTAGATTCGTGCAGTTCCAGCCAAATCAGTGAATAGATTTCACCATAGCTAGCTATAGGGGCCCCATATCCCCTTGAACCATTGATATACCTATATCCTCTGGTAAATTAACTTGTTGACCCTGAAAATAGCCTAGTTTTAATGGAAACGAATCTTCCAACCCCCCTATCTGCCAGGGTCTATGTTAATTCACCAGAGGGTAATAAGCCTAATTAACTGCACCCTGTTCAGTCGCTTCAACAGCCGCCGCATACTGCCGCTCCTCATAGGCTTCTTTGCTATGTGCTTTCACGGCCGCAGCAAAGGCACCTGACCATTGACCATCCCATTGACAGTGAAATCATTTAACTTCTGGTGGTGACTTGGGGGTGCAGTTTGCGTTAAGAGGTATACTGGTTGGTGGTTGAGCCTACCCCTCTGAAAAATATATGAGTTCGTCAGTTGGGATGATGACATTCCCAACTGAATGGAAAAATAAAACATGTTCCAAACCACCACCCAGTACATCATGGATTTATGGTATATCAATGGTTAAGACCACCAGAAATTGGGATATGGGGGTCATATATCCACTGGCTGAAACTGCACTTCCTATTGAAAATTGGTCATCCATCCAATCAATGGGAATTCCAGGATCCTAAAATGGAGGTACTGTACCATATAAGGCCATCTTTTGTGGTGATATTCCCTTACATAGGCCCTATATATGGTGGGTACCTCCATTTTAGGATCCTGAAATTCCCATCCATCCAATAAAAATCCCGAGCTGAATGAACTCGCGGCCATCCCCCAATATGACCATGGCACATTTCACCTGTGAATGGCTTTGGCACCTGAAAAATCAGGGGGAGATGCCCCAAAAAATGATGGCTCATCATCAGTGTCCCTATTGAAATCAACATTTTGGGGCATACCCTCTGGTAAACATACAACAAGCTATGGAAAATGGCAATTTAGTTCGTTGATTTTCCCATTAATAGCATGGAGATGTTCCAGTTCGCGAACTGTTAGTTTACCAGAGGGTATGATTTCTTGTTTTATTGTTGGACATACACCCATAGATATAGTTATATATATATATATAGTTTATAATTTCCACCATATCCCCATATATATCTAATTTCTGAATATATACTATTTCCATATTAATTGGTTTGGTTCATCCCTTGAAAATTCTATTATACTTTCCATTAGATCCCCATATAGATCTAGGAATTGAGTTGTATCCCAAGTATATTCCATTAATTTCCATTATATATAATACCTTAGTTATATCTTTGATCTACCCCCGGGGCAGTAACAGTGAGCACAAGCCAGGGGCACAAAATGAGCACCAGCCAAATGCAGAAAATAAGGGTCTAATCTGGTGATATGATACGGATAAATTCTTATACCAAAACCAAACAATGGATCAGGTAGACACCATGAATATGTAAATCATCAAATGGTTGAAAAAATGTTTCATGTGAATCGGAAGGAATCAAGCTGCACAGGTGTATGTTTCTCTCTTCTCGGCTCTGGTTGCTACAGATTTGCTAGGAACTGGCCAACTTATCACCAACATTCCGTTGGAAACCTTAGCAATTCTTAGTAACTACGACAGCTTAGCAATGTGACAACTAGCAACAATAACAACAACCGCCCCCCACCAGCGAGAGCACCACCACGACCACTACAACCAGCAGTACCAGCAGCGGCAGCAGCAGCAGCACCACCACCACCACAACAACCACCACCACCAAACGCAAGGGTGGGGGGTTGGGGCTGGGCCTGGGGCTGGGCTTGGCTGGGCTGGGGTGCTGGGGGCTGGTGTGGTTGGGTTGGGCCTGGGGGCGCTGGGGCTGGGGCTGGGCGTGGCGCTGGGGCTGGGGCTGGGGCTGGGGCTGGGGCTGGCGCAGTTGACTTTTTTGGTTTTACTGTTTTCGGTTTTTTGTGCTCGGCTGGTGCTCAAATTGTGCCCGGCTGGTGCTCAAATTGTGCTCGGCTGGTGCTCAAATTGTGCCCGGCTGGTGCTCAAATTGTGCTCGGCTGGTGCTCAAATTGTGCTCGGCTGGTGCTCGCTCGCTGGTGCTCAAATTGTGCTCGGCTGGTGCTCAAATTGTGCTCGGCTGGTGCTCAAATTGTGCTCGGCTGGTGCTCAAATTGTGCTCGGCTGGTGCTCAAATTGTGCTCGGCTGGTGCTCAAATTGTGCTCGGCTGGTGCTCAAATTGTGCTCGGCTGGTGCTCAAATTGTGCTCAGCTGGTGCTCAAATTGTGCTCCGCTGGTGCTCAAATTGTGCTCCGCTGGTGCTCAAATTGTGCTCGGCTGGTGCTCAAATTGTGCTCGGCTGGTGCTCGAATTGTGCTCGGCTGGTGCTCAAATTGTGCTTTTCTTGTGGTCCCTCAGCTGCTTTGCATTGATTTTTGGTCATTTCTGATTTGCCCAGGTGCCGGTGCTCAAATTGTGCTCGGCTGGTGCTCAAATTGTGCTCGGCTGGTGCTCAAATTGTGCTCGGCTGGTGCTCAAATTGTGCTCGGCTGGTGCTCAAATTGTGCTCGGCTGGTGCTCAAATTGTGCTCGGCTGGTGCTCAAATTGTGCTCGGCTGGTGCTCAAATTGTGCTCGGCTGGTGCTCAAATTGTGCTCGGCTGGTGCTCAAATTGTGCTCGGCTGGTGCTCAAATTGTGCTCGGCTGGTGCTCAAATTGTGCTCGGCTGGTGCTCAAATTGTGCTCGGCTGGTGCTCAAATTGTGCTCGGCTGGTGCTCAAATTGTGCTCGGCTGGTGCTCAAATTGTGCTTTTCTTGTGGTCCCTCTGGTGCTCGTTTTGTCGTCCCTTTGGACCTTTCCTTGCCCGGGCTAGTTTTTTTCATTTTTTTCGCAATTATTTTTGCAGTCTCCTTGTGCTTTTTTTGTGCTTTTTTTGTGCTTTTTTTTGTGCTTTTTTTGTGCTTTTTTTGGTGCTTTTTTTGGTGCTTTTTTTGTGCTTTTTTGTGCTTTTTTCTGTGTTTTTTAATGTTTTTTTTGTGTTTTTTTGTGCTCTTTTTGTGTCTAGCTTGTGCTGGTTTTGGCGGTTGGTACTTACGCGTCAATGAAGTTTTGCGATTTAGGGTTCGAATGGGCTCGGGGTTTAGAATTTAAAGTTTAGGATGGATGCCAAGTATATAACATTTCCATTTTCCCACATGGCCAATCTGACTCCATGGTTGAGCACATTACGGTGCATTGTGCCAGTTGCATCAAGCGGCCAAATCCTTTCACAATATGTTCTAGTCCTTGCTTCGATGCAGACGCCTTGCTCGCACCTTCTCAGGGTAACACATGAATGTATTGTCTGTAGTCTGCGCTCTTCTTTTCTCAATGTTGGAATGCAACTGATATGCTTGAAAGATCTTGAAAGTGAAGCCCCTGTCTTGAATTCTGAATTCTGTATCAGAGGTTTGGAGGGCAGGTTGACGTTTTTTTTTGGGCACCTCCTAGCCGAGATTTTTGGAGCAATTTCCTTGTGCTCGTTTTGAAAGGGTAGGTTAAAGGAAAATCATTTATCTGCTGTTACTGGGCGGGGGGTAGATCGAAGTTATATCCCATTAATATGTTGGTTCATCCCTTTTAAACCAGGTCACCAGGTCATTCCGCACCCTGATCTTTCGTCAGAAAGTAGTTGGAAGCTACGCTCGCTAAGAGCCCGCTGAAAAACCGTGGGGGTTACATATTCCCTACCTGGGTAGGATCAAACCACGAAGTATGGTTTTTTCGACTGTAGATCTAGCATCAAATCATGGTGGCTGGCTAGTTGTAAATCAACTTGCCCATCAGAAATCAACCATGAGGACCATAAATCACCCACAGTTTGCTGCCTAAGTCACATTTGTTTGGCGGATCGGATATGATAACCCCATCATTTGCCGACTTTATCAAAATCCCATGCCATGAAAATCATGACATCAGCAATAAAATCAAGTTCACATCAACTATGAATCCATATTCTCAACCATAAACCCACATTTTCTCAACCATAAACCCACCATAAACCCACTATTTTTGATTTCCATAAACCAAGGCTGGCAACGTGCCACTCCCCACTCCCCACTCGCCTTGGTTCAGGCCGGTGGTGGAGCGCTTCCCATCGCCATCTAAGGGGAAGTCCAAACCTGGCGAGTTGTGTAATTAAATACCTGGCAGGTGAAAGCGATAATTTTGGATTATTTTGGATACCTTTTGGATACCTTCTCATAGTTTTTGTTGGAGATGGATCTTCTTATAGACAGTTTTTGAAAACGGATCAGGATCTTCTGGAAAGGCATTTTTTTCCAAAAATGGATAGCTTCCTAAAAATGGAGAATTTCTTTTTCGAAAAATCACCGTCTACACCTTGTGTTTACTTCCTTTGAGGCTCATCCCAGTAGCTCACCGGCTAAGAAATGGTGTCTTTTTCCCCGGTTTTTTCAACGGGACAAGCCTACGCGAATTCACTGTACAACCAGGGTTTTGTGTCGAACTCAAGATGGAACCTCCTGTGCCGATAGCGTTTTCTCAGTTGATGCACAGAATTTAAGGTGTGGTTATTAATTGGGAATACAACGAATTCTGGTTGGTGGTTGACCTACCCCTCTAAAAAATATTAAAGTCAGTTGGGATGATGACATTCCCAATATATGGAAAAATGAAATTCATGTTCCAAACCACCAACTAGAATTGGCTCATGGATTTATAAACCAACTGATAACTGGCGGGGGTCTCAAAATGCAGGTGATGAAATTACGGATAAATGATGTCATTTATCATCCATTATAATTCATTTAGAGAAGCGCACTATACTAAAATGATTCATTCCAAATTTCCATTGCCTCAAAAATGATTAGCACTCAGATTACGATCCAAAACCGTAAAATGCAAGTGGTGAACACATTGGAACCCGGAGTGTTCATGCTGGTTGTTCAATTCATTCAATGGGAATTCCAGGATCCTAAAATGGAGGTACTGTACCATATAAGGCCATCTTTTGTGGTGATATTCCCTTACAGAGGCCTTGTATAGGTCTTATATATGGTAGGTACCTCCAATTTAGGATCCTGAAATGGCCATTGATTCATGTAACGACCAACATGTCTCCCAGTACGAACAAAAGAGGCCGGGATCGGCCTAGCGCCTAACACCAAGACATTAGTGAAATGACATTCCCAACAGAGTAGGGGGGATATGGCAGTGTGTCAAAACCCTTGTACCCCTGGTGAACATCAAAATAGCTGGTGAATGGATGTTCATCCCCCTAAAAATGGTACTTATAGGTATTGACCCATAGCCATATCAACTACACCATACCACCATGATTGGGACATAACTTGATTCCAGTCACAATTTGTGCATCACATCTTCAGGAGAAAAAAAACCAGTGGGCACGATCAACAGTGCATGGGGGGATAACCCAATTCATAATCGATAAATAATATATGATCCGTAATTGGCCTAGATTAATAGGTTTCATCTTGCGAATTTCGCTGCTTCAAGTTCTCTTTTGGTTGGGGGAGGTTGGGGGTCAAAACCCTGGTACCCTTGTGCTCTGGTTGGTTAAACCCCCAGAAGACTCTCACTTGTTTGATGATTCAATCCCATTTTCTGTTGCAATCCTGTTACCCTCCGGTAATCAAACGTGGCTAGCTGGAAAAACCCTCATTTAGTTCCATGATTTTCCCGGCTAGAAACATCCATTTATGGCTGATTTTCCAGCAAGCCATGTTTGACTACCAGGGGGTAAATCTCAAAAAGAACAAAAAAAAGAACCACCAAACCAAACAAACTACAAATCACTACCAGGAGGCAAATCTCAATCAAATCAACAATGTCCTTTTGGTAAAAATAGAGGGGCTGGTTTGGTATATCATCTATCATCAAACAAACCTGTTGTTAAAGGGTAAACAAACCCCTCTATTAATCAACCAACCAATGGGAATTTGGGACATCTATGAATCAAATCCCCATTAAACCACCAAAAAGAACCACCTCACTCCATCCCTTTCACCTGTATCACTCTCCGCCATAGCGGAAGTCGAAAAAAACGTCGCGTCTTTTGAAGCCAATGGCTATCAAAAGCTGCAGAAACTTACGCCGAAGCGCCGAAGGGGGCCATAGAAAATCAAAAATCATCAGCAAATCCAGGGCAAAGTTACGTAAAGTGGACTGAGTCTTGGATTGATGGTACAATGTTGGGCCCCCGAACGATAGCTAAGTTGGGGGTGATATAACTCCAATAACTATGGTTTATAAACCCATAACTGGGGGGGGGCCACATTGTAGATATATCAAGCTGGTTAGAGGAGGTTATAGTGACCAACTTACAACTCTTGCGGTCTTCCTGAGAGATATACTGGGAATATCCTGGAAAATTGATATAACCAAGAAGAAAAGTGCTTGTCGAACCAAAAAAAGGTCAAAGAAAACGCACAATTCCAATCGATAGTTATTCTGGTTGGTGGTTGCAACCCCTCTAAAAAATATGAATAGTCAGTTGGGAGTATTATTCCCAATATATGGAAAAATAAAAATCATGTTCCAAACCACCAACCAGTATTGGATTTATAAAATTGGTTTATCCAATAACTATGGTTTATAAATCCAATAAACCCATGGAAAATGGCTGTGTCCTATATTCACATGGCCAGTTTTGGGTCGGAACCATGAATCTAAACCAACCGGAAAGATCCCTCGGTAATCCCGTGGTTGGTGATCTTTTTCTAGCCATGAAAAATACACCGTTTTCCCATCTCATTATCTTGGTTGGTTAGTGCATATTCCTCGTATGGGTTATAATAATTTGTATATACCTATAATTAATAATCCCCACTAAAGCAGTTAGTACAGTTAGTATAACCCCCTAAACCCCCTATGTTCAAACATCAACAGAAGTATTTTCAGTGGCACAATCGATGGCAATTTGCTATTGACAAGAGGTGACGATGGCTTCTGCTTCGCAAACAATTGGCTTCTAAGGTCAACACAAACAAAAATGTGCGCCATATTTGCAATCCTTTTCTTCAGATCATGAGAAAGCTATCAGCAAAGCAAAGCTACCGGAATGCTATCAATACTGATTGGTTGTTTCAACACATCCAAAGCACATTTGTCTCTGTTGGGCACAAATGTTTGAGACCATCAACCACTTTTTCGCTCTATATTCCTATTTGTATGGCTAATCTTTCTACTTCATTCTTGGTAAACCCCGTATTGATTGTTGGAAATCATCTAGTTTAAGACAAAGCAAATCTAAAGCAGAAAGGATCAAATGAGAAGAAACCATAAATCTAGACGTGGATAAACCAGTTTCACTGATCAAAGACTGTTCAAAGACTATACCCATTGTATACATGTTTATACATCATATTTCGTGAGTCCACATCCTTTTGATGCTTCATCAAAATCATCCCACTGAACCACCATGGTCCATGGTTCTCCCAAGAACCAAAACTATCATCCCAACTAACAGAGATCCTGCTAAGGTCCGAAGCTTCGAAGACTGCTTTCCCCTAAAAAAAATGGTAAAATTCTCAGGGTCTGTCAACTGCACAACCTCGCGCGAGCCGCCATGCCCCGCCTGCCGCAACCTGGAGACATTCTCAGTCACAAACGTGGTTTATGAAGGCTTTGTGGTGGTGAAACGCCATCCCGAAATTGGGATCATATAGATATCTAATGATATCTAATGTCAACCCTGGATGAATAAACCCCGTAAAAACGGCTGTTTAATTGGGAGGGTACCATCAAAAAAGTATCAAATAGTGACTATTGGAGGAGTACCCCAATTAATAAACCATGGTTTACAGGATGGGCCCCCCCAGTTATAAGTTGGTTTATAAACCATGAAATAATCCCCATTAACTATAGTTATATCTACCATAAACCATTGTTAAACCACTTATAAACCAACTTAGCTATCTTGGGGGCCCCACCCTGTAGTCTCATCCGGGGTTGACATTCTTAGCCAAGAACCTACCTGGCACTTTAAGTAAAGGTCATCTCTGATGGTTCAAGAAAACGGTAGCTAAACGCCATCCCTGAATCCATGGGTGACTCCCGAAATCAGGGGCTCCCCGGGACAGTTTTCGGATGAGGAGGTGTTCATGGGTTTTCATGGCTTTCCCCATTAAAAAATGTAGGTTTTCATGGGTTTTCATGGGGGAAACCCCCCTAAATTTGCTTGAAATCCCATTAAATCACCATTAAATCCCATAGGATGCATAGCATTTAGATCGCTTGTGGAGAAAAACCCTCTGGGGTTTATGTAGTGTCACCTAGGAAATTCCGGTTCTAGCCTTGGCATAAACTCTGTCTCCATGAGGATAGAAAAGTGATTATATATAGATATATATGCCTGCAACCATCATGGGGGCATCCAAAAGCGAAGATATAAAACTGATATGCCAGCAACAAAAAAGGGCAATTTACAGTGATGGCATTTAATTGGACTTACTAGCAATCAAACTTGGCTGCCTTGAAATCCACTATAAATGGAGGTTTAGTTCGCTGGGAGCATTATCGAACATGCTTGGGGCGTGCAGTTCGAATTACTAATGAATATAAGCACGGTGGAAACCTCCAAAAGTTGTGATATAACCCCATACGCCTATAATTCTATAACTATCTATAACATTCTATAACTATGGTTATATAGCCACTTATACCCTCCGGCAACCAAACATGGCAATGGAAAATCCACTACTTAGTTTGATGATTTTCCTATTAAAACCTGAATGGGTACCCAAGCCCTGGTCCTCTGTTGCTGAAGGGAAGGATGCATCCTGCCTGCCAGAAAACCCAGCATATTTTGGTGGCAAAAATGGTGGAACCATAGTCGTCACCATAGGTTTCAATACTAAGTCATGGTCTAATAACCTGGATGTTAGGTACAGAGACCTCCATTTCGGATCATTTTGGTCTTTGGCAAAAGGTCGAGGCGGAAAGGGTTTCGGAAACCTGGAAATAACGGAGACATCATCGAACGTTCACATCCTAAAAAAAACGACTGTTCGGCGCCTCTTGGGGGGGACCTCTACAAAAAATGTCAACATCAATCCTTCCAATGTTTTTTGGATGTTGACTCATCAGGATTGGGATGCTAAAAAAAATCTTTAAAGTGACGTCAAGACTTCACCAGTTCATGCTCAGATCACGATTTGAAGCCAGAAGACCATCGTATGGCTAACAACCTGTACTTATCAATAGGGATGTCAACCTATCAATAGGGATGGTCCATACAGATCATGTTCATAGTAGGGAAACCTATCAACATCTATCATCTATCATCAAACAAACCTGTTTTTAAAATTTGTTAAAGGGGTTTCTTGTAACCCCTCTAATAATCAACCAACCAGTGGGAATTTGGGACATCATTGCACTAGTTGGTTGATACGGAAATCCCTATGGCTACTTGATCAGTTTAGCAAGGTGGTACAACTCCTGAAAAAACACCAGATCAACTGGGGCACCCGGCCTGTTTTTTGCGTTTACACAAAACGATGGAAAATCACGATGTTTAATGGGAAAATCCACTATTTCTATGAAAAAATAACGATTTTTAATGGGTCAATCATGGTAAATCCACGATTTCTATGGCCATGTTCAATAGCAAACTGTGAGAGTACCGGTATTTTGTTCATGGCTCATGTCGTGTCCGACCCATTCTGATGGTGATTTCACCCAGTGGATGGTGAAATGACCATCTGGTTGCTGGTCAATTCCATGTTTCCCCAGTTATTGTTGGTGGTTATATAAATATATATATGGTTTATAACTCCAATAACTATGGTTTATAGGTGATATATCTATAATTCTATAGTTAATGGGGGGTATAAACCAATTTATATACTGGTTGGTGGTGCAAGAACCATCTTGAAAAATCATGGAGTTCGTCAATGGGGTTGGGATGGCATCCCATATATGAAATGGAAGTCATAAAATTCATGTTTGAAACCACCAACCAGTGATGGGCTTTATAAACCAATAAACATACCCTCTGGTAATTTAACATAGCTATGGAACATAAAATTCATGTTCCAAACCACCAACCAGATATAAACCACCCACCAGCCAGATATTGTTGGTCAAGAATATGTGAGGTTAAACGCCTTTCTGTGCACCCAAAGGGTTTGGATTGTGACATCCACCATTCCACAATTTTTGGATGTCTTAACCTAATAGTTACAATTCTTGGATGGTGAAAACGTCATTTTTCCGAAAATCCGAAATGGTGAAACGTCCATGTTTGCCAGCTACCCTCTGGTAATTTAATATCATCACGCAAAATCACCAAATCAAATAGGTAGATCCTCGAACCAAATGGGCTGTTGTTCATACAAGGTGTTGGCCCCCAGTTAGAAGTTAGTTTTTACACCCCATTGACTGTAGTTATGTGCCCCATAAACCCAAACGTAAAACAAGTTATGTAAGTCAACTTAGCTATCTGTAGCTATGTTAGTGGAAGGTATTTGGATGGAAAAACCAACTGAGTCATTAAAAATACCCCTATCCCATCTCATTATACTACAAATCGCTTATCGTAATCCCCAATCAATTATATACATAGTATAAGTCATATATATGTATATATACATATATATATACACATACATATAGATATTATATATATATGGGCAAATTATAATGACTCGATAATAACTCGCTAACCTGAAAGAATGCGATATTGGGATATTGGGGATGATTTCCCGAATCCTAACCAATGATCCCAGCGAGGTCACAATGGGGTCACTAAAATTTACCCTCTGGTAAACATACAAAAAACTATGGAAAATCACCATTTTTCATGGGAAAACTCACTATAAATTGCCATTTTCAATAGCTATTTTGACATAACCAGAGGGTACTTCGATTCTCCCAGTATATCCGATTAAATCGCCATTTTCCCTGGTGATTTTTCACCATTTTCATCCATTTTCTCTATTTAAATCACCATTTTCACATGCCAAATATCATTACATCCAAGTCAGACTTGACCATTTTAGTATTGAAACCCATGGTTTTGGAAATCCCACATTTTAAAGAAACTCCCAATCTCCCATATAATTATA